TCGCTTAATTACGTCTTTAAGATTACAATGACGCTTTCAGAATCATGTTTGGTTGAAAATTAACGCCTGTACAGAGGCTTAAAGTTCATAACTTTTGGAGCCTCCGCTATAAACAAATAGAATTGTGCGAAAACTATTGCACCTACAGCGCCCACTTTTGGCACACTTTTAAAGTATGACAAAACCCTCAACTTGTCATAAGTTTTATAAAATTTTAACAATAAATGCGATAGTTATTAACAAATTAAAAAATGAGCACTTTTCTTGTTTTTTTGCAATAACTTTTTTGTTTATTAACCGATTTTAATTTAACAAGTCTCATTTTGTAGATAATTTTACTCCCTACAAGCTGTCTGGGAGTCACTTTTCGCTAAAATTGACGATTTTCCCGGCAAAGTGAAAAAATTGTTTTCCTCACTTATTTGTTTAAATAGAAAAGTTAGCTAATAACATTTTTTGACTCACGAGATGAGATACGTCTTGTATTATGTTCCTTTAGACAATTTTACAATAATATCGCGGATAGGAAAAGTATTCAGAAACTTTTTTTGAAAACTTACCTAAAGGCCTTAAGTTTTCTTTGTTGTTTATCGATCTTCGCAAATCATCTTTGTCAAAAATTATTTGATTAGAATACGACCTATTCTTTCTACTTTTGTTTTCAAAATAGTATTCTTTTTCACTATCATCACATTTGACTGTAGTTTGGCGTTGATGTAACCAAGGCCGATCCCACACCACAATGTCGCATACTTTGAATATGGTATTTTGAGGAAAGTCACAATCCTCTAAAGGTTTTGCATCAGTTTTTAAGCAATCCGACAGTGAGATTTCCACCTTTATCTTATATTTAGCTCCCGCCACCACCTGAGACGTAGCCGATACTATTTTATTTACTTTATGCCTGTTAGGGTGTTCAGATTTGGCATCTAGCTCTGTTAACGTGTCTTTAGTAAATTCGAGTATTCTTGGATCATCTAAAGCTATATTCGAAGGGGCCCCTACCAAGGTATTTCGACGATACCTGCTATAATTGGTTCTGTTTCTGTCACGGTCATCTTTCTTGGTGTTTTGACATTGAGATTTGACCACTTTGGGATTCGAGAGGTCATCTTCTACGTGTACAAGTACTTTACAAATCTTAGTGAGGTCAGGGAATAGCTTTTCTCTGCAGTTCTCGTCGTCTTCATTTTCAGAACACTGGGATATACCGAGCCGTAAAATTATGTGATAATAAATTCCATCGAGTTTCAGTTTCTTGGCACTTAATATTTGCAGAATTACCCTTTTGTGATTGTCATCGTCGATGTTATCCAATGAAAAAGCTGCGAAATCGGCCAGGTCTCTCACTAAGAATTTCTCTTCCTAAAAGCAGTACGTGGTGATTAGTAAGTGAATCATAACTTCCGCAAAATATAAATGACGTGTTAATTTTGTATGTCGACAAGACTTTAAGAGACATTAAACTAAAAGGGTAATATGGGTTTGCAAATATAAAAAAAACACCGCTGAAGACATTTGATGCGGAAAGATGACACGTAGGTTAATGATTTATCTAATCAAATATAAGAATCCATTGAATTCACTTCCACTAAAAATTTTAGAACCTTCATTTTATTAGAAAAATGAATAGTATTCAATTTATTACTTTTTCTAACTTTCCTTATGTTACTAAACACTGCAATAAACCTAACAAAATTAACTTTCTTTACATTTACACTGGCAATTCCATCATGACATATTACGTTGATAAGTTGTCAGTGCCATCAATTAACCAATAGTAGCAGCAAGTCACTTAAGGGGGAAAACCACATTAGGAGGCTCATTTTCAAGCGTTTCTCATGAATTTTTTTAGCGGGACAAATTGATTAGAATTTGATCAAATTTTGGCATTATTTTATCAATATTTTGAACTACCTATATTAAAAATTTATGTAGAATCAGCCATTCCGGCACCATATTACAGTCCTTCTTCTTCCTCAGAGGTATCATTCTGAGCTTACATCTGTTCTTTTCTTGATCCGACGGACGTTTGGTTTTAGACTCAAAAAATCGGAATGAATAGAAATTTCGTTTTGAAATTTCGGCAGCATATTCTTGAATAGTTATACTAACAATTTATGTAATAAAAAAAATCCAATGTGGTTGCCCTTCTTAAGTGTAAAATCGTAATCAAATGCAAATATCTGACTATATTGATGAATTGTAAGACAATGTTTATCAGAATTGTAGAATCGATTGTGTATTCGTCTATACAGTAGTGACATCGTCATATATTTTGATACAAAATGAGAACCAACCCTACTGATAAAAAATAAAATAAACAGTAAATCTACACTTTCATTCGTATAATTAAATAAATTAATAACTCTTTACCTGGGTAATTTTTTCAAGTTGGCCAACAGATCGTTTTACTTTATTAATTCTGACCTCCACATTGACATCGTCAGTATTGTGTTTTATTCGGTTTTGTTCTCTTGAGTTTTCTTCCGAACTGCTACTGCTGCTAGAAGAATCACTGTTATCATCCTCATGTGTTTTTTTATTATTTTCTTTACTTTCGTCTGAACTACTGCTCAACGATGAGCTGTCATTATTGTTGGCCTCTTGTTCTATTCTGTTTTGTTCCTTTGATTTGCTTTTCGAACTGTTACTGCTACTAGAAGAATCACTGCTATCATCCTCCTGCGTTTTTTTATTCTTTTTTTTACTTTCGTCTGAACTACTGCTCGACGATGAGCTGTCATTATTGTTGGTCTCTTGTTCCTTTGATTTGTCTTTCGAACTGTTACTGCTACTAGAAGAATCACTGTTATCTTGACCATTTTCATGCTTATTCTTTTCTTTACTTTCATCGTCTGAACTGCTACTGGATGATGAGCTACTATCAACCTTATTATTGGACTCGCGTTTTATTCGGTTCTCTTGTTTCGATTTGTCTTCCGAACTACTACTGCTCGAAGAATTACTATTATCAGTAGACCTTAAAGATTCCCCTCTTTTGTCCTGTTCGCTTTCCGATGAATTTGAATTCGAAGAATTTTCTAAATCTAAGCTTTTTGTAGACTGAGATTTATTATCCTCATGACTTTCAGAGGACTGTTTATTATCACTTTCTGAAGTACTATCTTCATCCTTTCTTCCTGCATTCCTCTTAAGTCTTATTGCTTTTTCTTTTCCGTCTTCATGGCTTTCCGAGGAGTCTGAATCAGAATTTTGTAAATCTCGTCTTCTTCTGTGATGCGATTCTTGTGTTTTATTATCTTCATGAGCCTCAGAAGACTCTTTGCTTTCACTTTCTGAAGTGTCATCTGCATCGTCTTTTCCTCTTGTATCCCTTTTAGGTCGTACTGCTTCTCTTTCATCTTGGTGGCTTTCTGAGGAATCTGAATCAGAATTTTCTAAATCTCGTCTTTGTCTGTGATGGGATTCCTCTGTTTTATTATCTTCATGAGTCTCAGAAGACTCTTTGCTTTCACTTTCTGAAGTGCCATCTGCATCGTCTTTTCCTCTTGTACCCCTTTTAGGTCGTACTGCTTCTTTCTCATCTTGGTGACTTTCAGAGGAATCGGAATCAGAATTTTCTAAATCTCGTCTTCTTCTGTGATGAGATTCCTCTGTTTTATTATCTTCATGAGTTTCAGAGGACTCCTTACTTTCACTTTCTGAAGTACCATCTGCATCGTCTTTTCCTCTTGAATCCTTTTTAGGTCTTACTGCTTCTCTTTCATCTTGGTGGCTTTCTGAGGAGTCTGAATCAGAATTTTGTAAATCTCGTCTTCTTCTGTGATGGGATTCCTGTGTTTTATTATCTTCATGAGTCTCAGAGGACTCCTTGCTTTCACTTTCTGAGGTACCATCTGCATCATCTTTTCCCCTTTTATGTCTTACTGCTTCTCTTTCATCTTCATGACTTCCTGAGGAATCTGAATCAGAATTTTCTAGATCTTGTCTTCTCCTGTGATGGGATTCCTCTGTTTTATTATCTTCATGAGTCTCAGAAGACTCCTTACTTTCACTTTCTGAAGTACCATCTGCATCATCTTTTCCTCTTGTGTTCCTCTTAGGCCTTATTACTTCCTCTCTTTCTTCTTCATGGCTTTCTGAGGAATCTGAATTTGAATTAGCTAAATCTCGTGGCTCTCTGACTTTATCTTCTTTGCTTTCAGAAGAATCTGAATCAGAATCGTCAACTTCTCTTTTTGGCCTAGTTTCTTGCAAATTAATATCATCATTTTTGTTCTCGTTTATTTTTTCTCCCTCGCCATTTTCATTTAAAGGATCAGTTGTGCTATCTGTCTGGCCATTTTCTGAATTTGAAATATCACTTGATTCTCTGTTACTGTTTTCTGTATTAACATTTTTCTCTGTCGCTGTACTAAAAGCATTGGTAGACTGACCGTGTGTCACGGCAACAGGCTCATAGTTTTCATTTTGTACCTTGTATGTGGTATACAACTGATTATTGGTAGGATTACCTATTACTTCTTCGTACTGGATTTTTTTGGGGAATGAATTAGCTTGAACTTTATCCTTTGGAAATGGTTTTGTATTTTCTGGTTCCATAAGTAAAATTTGGGATTCCAAATCAGCTAGACGTTGTGAATTCATTTCCCTTACTTTATTTTTGTTGACATCTGAATTAGTATTTATTTCATTGCTCATATCATCTCTTTGATTCCTTATACTTTCGGGTGGATATTTTTGAGATGTAGTGCAATTATTCCCAATTATTAGTGTGTCCTTACTAAGCCATGGCCTTTGTAAGAAAATTATTTCACACACCGAGCTATCTACACTGCCATCTAAAGGACAATTCGTTGAATATAAATCGACATGTTTTTGGCAGACTGTTGGAGCCACTTCCACAATCAAAAAGTATTTTATCCCAGCAACAACCTGGAAACATAATAATATATAACATTGGAATTTACCTAGTATCATTCTTACCTGTTGTTGTAATCTAATGACTTTAACTGCGATATGCTTCTGAGTTTTTTCGGTTTCTATGTGTCTTAAAGCTGTGTCTACCAATGACGAAGTGCCTTCAATGTCTGTGTTTAAATCAAATGGACATCCCACACATGGCGCGGTATCAGGTTTTACTGCTACAAAGTCAGCATTTTGATTGGAAGGTACAGCCTCATGACTAAGATCAATCTGGAAGGTTATTTGTGTCTTTGTTTTTGTTTCATTTAAATTTACAAAAAATACTAACTTTAGAATCATGTTGAGACCTTGTTGGTATAGTACTGCCATCATTTAAGCTTTCAACTGAAGCATCTTGTTTAGGATTACACAATACATCGCTTAGTACTCGATATTGACCGTCACTGTTTTGTACAAATCCATTACAAGTTAACACTTGCTCGGTACATGGTACCCCTGGATAGTTCACGATACAAGTTACGTCAACGTCAATGGTCAATTCAAAAATATCTGCCTAGAAAATGATGCAGTCTAATAATAGTTGGAGGTGCTATAGTTTTAATTATTTTTTTCATATTTCAATAAATTTTCCTGGGATTAATTCCCATTAAAAAATTTTCTAGAATATTTAAATGTTTTTCAGTTTTATAAATATGTACATTGCAATTTAAAAAAAATCTGTTGTAATAAACACTAGCGATATCTAAAGAGGCATATAGGTCAGTAATATAAAACAGATATTAATTGCCCTATTCAGATAAAATGTATAATAATATTCCTTTTTCGTTTTTATTGGTATGTGTATGATGATACAGTTGCTATGTAGCCTTTCTGGCACAAAAATTTTAATCAGCATTTGCAAATTAAAATATTGACATTAGGGTTTGCCAACCCTGAGAAGAAGGTTGCACATATTTTTTTTCATCAGCTGATATACAGGCTGTTACAAATTCGCTTCTCACTACAGGGATCTCGAAAACGGTAAGAGATATGAACCAGCTTAAATGGCGGCAAAGTTGCGTAATCAGGGGACCAACATTATGCCTCTAAAAAATCAGGCCTAACATGATTTCAATCTTGTTTGAGGTGATAGTGAAAAAAGAATACTTTCTCATGGCCACTTTTTGTCATCAAAAACGAATTTCCAAAATTTCGGTATTTTTCAAATATTTTGAAAAATAATCACATTAGCCTTGATTTTTTAGAGGCATATTGTTGGTCCCCTAATTAAGCAACTTTGCCCCAATTTAAGCTAGTTTGTATCTCTTACCGTTTTCGAGATCCCTGTAGTGAGAAGAGAATTTGTAAGAGCCTGTATACAAAACGTTTTTTTTTTTCAATTTTGATAAAATTTTATAACATTCTATTTTTCGAACTTCATAATGCTGTAACTATATGAAAAATAAAAAATTTGGTATAAATAAAGAATCCGCTATTGTATCAGTTGAAGAAGAAAATACAAACAAATGTGAAACTCTTTTCGAGTTCTCAGGGTTGGCAACCACTACTTTAACCTTTTATTTCACATATTTTCAAAATTTTTTTCGTCAGTAGAACATAGAAATCATTCCCTAAAAAATGATATGGGTCCCATGCTTTATTATCAAAATATGACCCCTTTAATTTTCACCAGCCGCAATTGACTATTAAACTTAAAAAATAAAATAAAAAACAAAACCATTTTAAATATGCCTAAAATCAAACACGTTAAAGTGTTGAATGAAATCAATTCAAAATATGGCTGAAAAACATAAAAAAACATCAAAGTATTGATTTGTTAAATAGCAAACCGGAACAACTATTATTTGAATGTACAAACATTGAAACATCCAGGCGCAAAAATATGTATGCATGATTAAATTCATGAAATTTGCATTGGCAGACATAGAGAGAATAAAAACAATCTAAGTATAACCTTTGGATAATTTTTTAATTCCATTAAATTTAGTCACTATATGCATTGTGATTACTATGGTATATATGTAGATATTTCTTTTCACTTTTATGATGACAAAAGCATTTTTGAGCAAATATACGAAATATTTAAAATTAGTCGAGGACCAGCGTTTAGCGTTACAAACTTTTAAAATTAGCTATCAGGAAAATATATCAGTAAAAGGTCAAAAGTGAAGAATATTGGCGCGTTACCATAATTAACTATTTATTTGATGAAGTAACTACTAATTAAGATAGTATCTATCTTGAATGTGTAAAATATTATTTTTTCAAATAAAATCTTCAAGAAAATATTCAATATTTATTTACATATGTATAACATTAAACATACATTACATATTTGCATTATACATGCTGCTGTATACACAGATAACATTTACTTTTCTGTATTTGGTATAGATTTAGTGCTTTTCCACTAATATAATTAATACCTACATATAAACAAAAAATGTAATAATAACTAAAAAGTTAATAAATGCATGGTTATATAATATACCTAAATATGGAGATCATTTCTAGATTACTAGTTCAACTAAAGAGAAATACATAAGTTCAATAATTTATTGCAAATTGACTTTTGAGGACAATCTATACATTTTACTCATTGTAAAATTTAATTTAATGGAATAACTTCAGAAACAATTGTTAATAGCTTATTTCCGTTTCCGCCTGCAACATCTCAGCATCTTGGCAGAAGTTTGTCGACGTTTTTGGAATTTAGGTTATTTTATTTTTTTTAATAAAGAGGATTATTCCATTCTCATTTCTCTAGATTTCTGCGTGTCTCTGATAAAGTCCTTACGTTCGTATTGTTAGGTCTTTGTTCTCTTTATAGGTACAATCTTAATAAAGCAAGAAGGAAGCGTTTAAATATTAATAAGGCTACCTATCAGCGAATTAAAATTGTCAAAATATAAAAATTGTGGCAATAAATGCCAGGTGTTCAAGAATTTGTTGTTGAATGTGGAACTGTAAGTTGCACAGTTAAAAATTATGATTATAAAAACATTTCTCATATACTGGCTTTATGTTGTTCGCAGCATATACATACAAATTCTCACAAATAAAAGTTTTTCTCGATTGCTGAAAAATACTTTCACCAAAATAAAAGGTTAAATACGCGAATAAGATTATAATTTATTCCAAATTGTAGAAACTAGCTGAAGGTAGCCGCGTAAATAATATTTTATTCATAAATAACATGATCATTTTAACCTTCAGTATGTAATAACTTAATTAATATATAACAATAATAACATTTCTTTAATGATAAATATGTTGCAATACACACTGTCCTTTTAACTACCCACTGCACTAACAAATCTGTACTTGCGCGCAAAACTTAAGCCCACTGCATGCAACTGATTTGAGAAATTATAAAATAATTTTTATTAAACACAAGAAATTACATTTTCCATAGTAAGCATACGCGAATGAAATCAACTGACACCAAAATATTATCAATATTATTATCCTAGTTTGGGTTTTATGTTAAAAAAATGGTTTGGACATGTGAACTTTTGGTAAGAAATTATGAATTTACAAAGCCCGATTTACCAACTAGGATTACAAAAGAGTACCTAGTTAACTTTTGCTCCAGAACTATCAAGGACTAGTTGTATTTTTTAATATCAACTAATTTTTCTTAATTTTGGATTTGTTGAATTTTGCGCGCAACCTACAAAGTATAAATTATATACTTCCATTTATATTAAAAATTAAATAACTTTGATCTATTAAATACAAAGTAAGTAACACAAAATGAGTTTACGAAAATTTTCTCGTAGTGATCTAGATAATAATTATCTATACAGGATGATTCACAACTTATCCAAAAAAAATTGGGAATATATGCGGCATGAGAAATGGAGTCATTATCGTTAAAAATTTTTTTGTAAAATCCTTAGTTTCCCAGAAAAAAATTATTGAAGTACATTTAACCACTACATAGCTCAACACCTGTAGACTCTAGCATCATTCGCAATACGCGTGGAGAGCCACGTGGCTCCGAATACTGAAGTCCGATTTTGCAATCGCCGTTGCGATAGTGTTTACCTGGTATGTGTGGTGTTTACAATAGTTTTTTAGTAGTTGGTATCAAAAATGGTTTGCGTGTATAGCAACTCGGAGTTGATGGATATCGTTTTAATTTATGGTGAAGCAAGACAACATTTGTATATGGTGAAGTAACGAGCGTTCAAATAAAAACGTGGTCGAAGTTGGCTCCGACACATTGGACGTAGGGAGTAGCTTATAGCGACCAACTTAACCTCATTTCTCAACGAGCTGTATAGCAGCTGTCAGTTTCAATAACGTTAATGACTATATAACTTTATTTTAAAGAATAATCGTGATAACAATAACAAACAATTAAAGGAGCTGCGGAAAGTGTCCCCCTCCTTGTTATAACAATAAATTAAAGCAGCTCCTGAAAGTGTCCCACTCCTTGTTCCAAGCACTTTTCACACATGTTCCTCAAAGAATTAAAGACATTTTCTAAGATGCGTCCATTTCTAAAGTAGGACTCTAAACACTTTTTGTTCTTGAGAAAACACCATTTTAAACGCTTTTTAAAACGAAAATATTCAAATTGATAGCGGCGATATAGCGCTTTGACAGATAACGTTTAAGTTCATTTCCAAATTTTCAGAACCAACTTGACCACGTTTTTATTTGAACGCTCGTTATTTGTGTTATGGTGAAATATTTGTGTTAGTTCGTAGAAACTGACAAATAGTGCACCCGGAGTGAATTTTCATAAACCCCTAAAGAGAAACAACAAATACAAAAAGCAAAATGACGCTGTGTGTTTATTAAATAAGGAAAATATGTTTGGTTTGGTAAAAATTTTACGACTAATTAATATTTTATTTTCTAGAAGTGAGAAAACATTAGCATTATTTATGAAAGCAATTTAAGAATAAAATGAGATTGAAATTCAAGCAATAACTTTATAATACCTAGATTGTACAGGGTTCATCAAAAGTATGGAAACCCTCAAATATCTCATCGGGAAATCATTTTTGGCGAGGACAAATATTTCAGCATTTTCACGGCGCTTCCGATGTTAACCTTGACCTTGACGTCAAGGTTCAAGGTCATCTCAAGATAAAGCCGATTTTTAAAATGGCGACCCTCCTTTTCGACCCCGGAAATGGAGAGAGCAGAAAATTCTGCATCTGCATGACTTTGACCGTGACAAGGTCAATGGTCAAGGTCAGTTCAAAGTCAAGTGTTTATTTTTACTGTAATTTTATATTTTTAACTACGGGAGTGACAGTGTTTGAGTGTACCCGATGGTACTCCTTAGTAACCTTGATCTTGAGGTCACTAAAAAATTATGAGTCCCTTCTATTCCACGTTGAAACTAAAAAAATGACATCCGGAATAATCACTTGACCTCTACCTGACCTCATGTTTAAGATCACAATAACATGCAGAATTATACGCATTTTTATTTCTAGCGTCGAAATAAGGGGTCGGTTCTCCAAAAACCAATATGACCTTGCCATGTTCTTTCGACCTTGATCTCAAGATCAAGGTCACTAAGGGGTATCATCAGATATCTACTCGGAGACTGTCACTCCCTCTGATTCCGTAGTTACAAATAAAAAATTACAATAAAAATCAATATTTGACCTAGAACTGACATTTACCATTGACCTTGAGGTCACGGTGAATGTTATATGCTGCTCTTTCTATTTTCGGGGTCGAAACGGAGGGTCGCCATTTAAAAAACCGACTGATCTTGATATGACCTTGAACCTTGACATCTTGGTCAAGGTTACCATCGGATGCCCCGTGAAATATGCTGAGATATTTGTCCTCACCATTTACCCCCAAAAATGCTTTCCCGCTGAGATTTTTGGGGGGTTTCCATACTTTTGACTAACCCTGTATATGCTACTTTTAATGTAGCTCGTTGGTGAACCACTAATTCCAATATTTTATGCAATTTCCCCCTATAAATGCACTAGGGACTAGGGGAATATCTTTTCCCAGCATTTGCAACTTATTTAAATTGTACGTGAACCTGTTTAAAAGTGTATAAAGTTATTATATAGCTAAATTGATTTATTTATTTATCAGGTATATAATTGTATTTCATCATGTTTATTTGGGTTTCTTCTATCTAAATGTCCTTCTTTACAATTTGTACATACCTACATTCAAGGAGTGTTCTACCTCTCAGTATATTTTTACTGAAAATATCACGTCTCTTTTGGCAATTAAAAAATATGTAAAGTAGGATGAAACTGGATAAGTACCGTTATTGACGGATTTTGATTTGATTTCAACAGCAAACCTTGAAATACGTGTACATAAAACATATACAGAAGGGGTAAAATTTAATTTAGTAGACGGCGAAAAGTTTAACGATAAATCCAAACAAAGAAAGAACACTTAATTGTTTTCTTATTTCTACTAACTAAAATTCTTGATATCAAAAATTGCACCATCATTATTTATTAATTAAAATGATGTGGTTTCTCGAATTCGCGTTACAAAATTATTTATAAAAACCGTTATGCGTACTAACCGTGAGGGGTCACGTAAATTATTTATCTTATCCAGACTTTATTAAACATAAGCAAGTGATTAGTAATATATTTATATGTATTTGCCTTATCGAATGTTGGTTCCAACAGAAAAAAGTACACTAAACTAAATAGAGACGTAAATCCTGGTAAACATCTAATTCTAGAGGAAGTTTTACATAATTTATTAAATGGTGTAAAGCACTTAAGAAATTACTTTTATTTTATTTAATCTTTTGACCGACCTCACACACCTACATTAGTTAAGAAGACACATGATTCATTTCAGTAAATAGTAAAATTAAATTTTCATCCTACAACTTCCCAAAATGTACTTGTAAATTGTCACGGAGAAACGCCATTGCATTTATGGCATATTTAAAGCAATTGCTGGGACAATAAATAAGCAACGACGTATTTGCTTTATGAGCGAATATAATTTTGCATGGAAAATATAATTTTTAATTTATTAGCAAATGTTATGTGAAAATCATTTGCATTATTGTCTTAGAAAGGTAATTTTATTTCCATATGCGAAGCTAATATATGTATAACAAATACTTGATGCAGTTCACAGATAAAGAAAATTGTACATATAAAAATATATTAAGAGCTTTCTTTTTTAAATAACCAATGTTAAAATTTGTTTAAAATATCTATAAATATTAGGATTTTTCATTATTGCACAACACATTTTTTTATTAGAATAAAATTTCGAATATTTCATTATATTTTCTGACAAGAAAATTTTTAAATACATAAAATTTAAACCAATCTAGTGCCATGTGCCAAATAAATTGACGCCGAAATATGTTTGGATATTTTTGGCTTGGCTTATTTCTGACTAATTAAAATTTAAATCTAGATTGAAATTTTTTTCTACTGAACTACAAAAAACTTAATACGTCGAAAACCGTCAGGTTTATGTTTATAAGAAATGATGAATATGTGCATTTATATGTAGGTACCTTATCGGTACCTATATCATTTTAATTTTGGGTAAAAAAATGGAGTTTTAGGTAACTGACATAAAACACCCTGTATATTCCAAAATATTTCAGGGGTCTATTACATTACGTTTGATAACTGCTGTACAAAACAAAATAGAAATTCCAAAATTAAAAATAAAATATAGGTAGTTGCATGGGTTCTCCATTAATTTATTCAGAGAACTAATCAAGGCTTTGGAGTGTTTAAAACCTACTATTTTATAAATTATTCTTTTCACTTGTAAATATAATAAAATGAATATGTAAAATATATTACCTTTTGCTGGGAATTGACGAGTATGCCCTTCTTATAATCATATATTTTATTGGGATTTGAATTTAAATGCTTTAAAATAGCTGAAATATGGGGCTCATACTGTTCAGTTTCATTTATATTTGATGTATACGCTCTGAAGACACAACAAAATAAAATAAAAGTCAATTTAAAGCACACCATTATAACACTTTACACTTCACATCTATGACCATTCTATGACTACACAATGTTGCGGTTTATTTATGTCATTTCTTATTTTTGTGTTACTTGTCATTACTCAGCTGATGACAGTGTTGCCAGATGACTTTGTACTAGATCAGTAGAGGTTTACGAAAATTAATTCGTAGTGATCTAGATATATCAATTTCTCTTTCCAAAACCATAAGAATCTGGGCACCCGAAATTCATTTTCGTAAATTCCTAATTGTAGTCAAGCCGAATTCGTGTGATTTGAAATTTTGAAATCAGAGTAACCGTTAGAGTAATTCCACACGACAGCTGCACTATGGCACGTTCCATGGTACGCGTGCCATGGCACGGGTCATGTGAAATTTGAGTGAATAAGACTATCTACATTTTTAAATCATGTGACCGAATAATGGAAATATGGTCTGATTATTTACATTCTTATACCAGTTCCACCAGTCGTAACAAGAGTTTTAAAATTGATTTCGTGCGTTTATTAAAAATTTTTACGCACTTGATATAAAATAGCAAATTTATAAAACAAAATGGAAAGTGATTAATATAATAAAGTTGATCTAGTTATAATTGAAAATATAAACAAACGGGCCTTGTTTCCAATATTCGGTCAAATTAACAAATAAATATATAGATAGACGTATTCGCTCAAATTTAACACGACCCGTCCCATGGTGTAGAATGACATAGATAAAATAAAATACTTAAAAATACAATACAATTTTGTAAAAGTTAATGAAATTGATAATTCGGTAGATTTTGAATACAAATCAGTAGATCTGTACGCGCCACGCGCCATTATTCCATGGCTAGAAATTGGCCTCAATGATTTGGGATCGAGGGGGATTATCCCTCTTTATCCTGCCTCATCTCGTGTAGGCCTGGACAGCCTTCGTAGGTGGGCCCCATCCGTCGTCTACCCCGACCGCAAATGCGGCCTACACGAGATGAGGCAGGATAAAGAGGGATAATCCCCCTCGATCCCAAATCATTGAGGCCAATTTCTAGCCATAGAATAATGGCGCGGTGTAGGCGCTTTGTGGGACCTCCTTTTGTCCTGGCTGGGCCCTGCCGGCTCCCTTTCTTCTGACGCTCTTCTTGCTTCGCCGGCTCGTCTGTGTAAACCCCGGGGGTGCTGTCATGATATTAGAAGTAAATGAAGCGTGATCAGTGGATCTGGTAGCAATGCCAGTGATGTAAACGAGAAATTCTCTAGAATTCCCTCGTATGTTTTATAAAGATACTTTACTTTAAAAAACGGATGCATTGATTTACAAGATTCGTATCTATGAAAAAATTACATTATTGGAGTCTTAAATTCTCTATTTTAAACAAAAACCCAAAATCCTTATACATATAGGCAAGTTCGATATTAATGTCTAGACGCTCCAGATGTGTTTTGTTCTTTTCTAATTGCATGAGATGAAAAGACAAAGAGATACATCTAGAGCATCTAGATGTCAATACCGAACTTGCCTCATGTATCATAAAATTCCCTATTTTCTAAGTTTTAGATATTTGGAGCATATTTCCCCAGAACTAAAAAAAAATCTCCAAATCTGGCATAGCTGGAATTGGCTGATAGAGACCATAGCCCATAGAACAATATATAATAAGACTGATTTCTGTAGTGTGCACAGCCAATGAACTATATAAAACTGGAAGGGAGTCGTGTTTCGATATGAGAATGTTTGTCAGGGATATAGAAAGAGAAGCTATAAACGAGTAATTTGTTTCTCTCTTCGTTACGTTACTGTTTATGAGAATTTTACTGATACATAGAGTTCTATATTTTCAGTTGCTAATATTTAATTTGTATTAATAGTATGAACACGAACGAACTCTTTCAAATGAACTCATTAATAGGTTCAAATTGATCCACTGAAATTATTACGCCATATACATACATCGCATACGATCTAGTAGTCAGTCACCATAGAAAATATAGTACTAACGTACTATAGCTGCTTCCCTTTTGCAAGAAAAATCACATTAATATCACATGTGACGTCATGACTCAGTTAATTGTGCGTTTCTTTTAATTTTCCGAAGTGAGTTTGAACTGAGAATTTTTACCCCCACTTACTGCTATCTGCATTAGTTTGAGAGCTTGTTCACTTGGCTCATTTTGTGCTCAGTTATTTAAAGTGTGGTTAGGTTTGTTTTTAAAAGTTAAAAGTTGCAAATAATAGGTAAGTATTATGATTTATAACGTCTTTTCAATAATAATATTTCGCATTTAAGTTTATATATGGTTAATTTACATTTAGAGAAGAATCACAACTGAAACAACTGATGTGAGTACACTCACCTCACGTGTAATATGTACTCAGTTGCCTGCAAAAGGGAAGCAGCTTATATTTCACAAATAGTAATAATAGGGCATACTAACGTGTGAATCCCCCACATTTTCCACTAATCTTAATCTGATTAGTGATTAGTCTTTTTCAGACGAATTTATAGCAATGTAAATTAACAATACCAGTTTATTTCATACATGTAAAGGTGAAACAGAGAATAGACGTAAACAACATAAAAAAAATACTGATTTATTGAATATATATAAAAACAAAAAGGGAATGTAAAATAAACGAAACATAAGAAATAGTCAGTCTAACAAAATAAAAACAAATTAATATGTCCACATCCTAAATTAATAACAAAATTTACTATGAAGATGTATAATACAATATCGAATATTCTGTAAGAGCTACAACCCTTCAGTTTTTATGCAAGCTATATACTACAGATATAATACAGATGATGTAATAACAGCATAAAATTTGTATTTGGTACAACGCTAAATTATTCTTATATTTGCAAAATTAGATAATCACTGAAGTGCTGAAATAAGTGAATCCCATGAAATCGAATTAAAAAATGGATGGGATTTAATATTTTCTATCCCATTTAAGCCAGTACCCAGTCTGTCGTGTGGTTCATAAATGAGAAGCTAAAAAATTGTCCGTTGATATAAAATTATAAACTAAATTGATTAATCACTGACCTGTCTTAATATGGATCTACCTTCGGCTGACACATATTTTGGTATTTTCAAATGAGAGAAAGAATTTAAACCATTCGGATGTACTTCGGACAGTGGCTGTAAAGTAAACAACAAAATCAGATTAATGCCTTATTATGATATCTATCGTACCATTCCAACTAACAACTCGTACAGTATAGCTCCGTAACTCCACCAATCCACTGCAGCGGTAATTTCATGATGGCTATACACTTCGGGTGCTAGATTATGATTTATGCCGTTAGAAAATAAATCACATAAGTCTTTAACGTTGCACATGTATGTCAGAACTAGATTGTTATTCTCATCCAAAAGTAAATTTTTAATTTCCAGGTCTCTAAAATGAATAATTATTACAATTATTCCTGTTATCTACAGGGTGATTCACAACTTATCAAAAAAAAAATTTGGGAATAGATGCGGCATGAGAAAGGGAGTCAGTATCGTAAAAAAATTTTTGTAAAATCCTTATAGTTTCCGAGAAAAAAATTATTGAAGTTATAGTCCATTCAACCACTACATAGCTGGACAACTGTAGTCTCTAGCGTCATTCGCAATACGCATGGAAAGCCACGTGGCCTCAACGACTCCGAATACTAATATCCGATTTTGCAGTCGTCGTTGCGATAGTGTTTACCTGTTATCTGTGGTGTTTACAATAGCTTTTTAATAGTTAGTATCAAAAATGGTTTGCGTGTATAGCAACTCGGAGTTGATGGATATCGTTTTAATTTATGGTGACAGACAACATTTGTATGGTGAAGCATTTGTGTTATGATAAAGCAAGACAACATTTGTGTTAGTTTGTAGAAACTAAGTAGACCGATCCAAATATGTTTACATGTTGGTGGATAAAATTTTGAACAATTGTTGTAACATCGGGTATGTCAAATGATTTTATTATTTAAAAACATAAATTAATTTTATTAATTAATAAAGGCAAGAGCAATTGAATTTGCCGATATAAAATAGGTGCTATAAAATTCTATTTATTCCTTATAGGTTATGCTTGCAGCAAAATGGAAATTATTTCGAGAATAATCTTTAAATTTAATTTTGCATTTCTTGTTTTTCGTTTGTATTAAATTTTATTTCAGATAAATAACTTTACCTAATACATGTCCCATAGTCATAAGTTATCAAACATTTTTCATTAATTAATAGCAAATTATTCTTAATGTTATTATTAAATTACCAGCTTATTGACAGAAAGTGTCAATTTATTAATATGATAAATAACAATTTATTTGTTATGACATCCGCCTACTTTATTTTTACAAATTTTCGCAATTACCCCTTTAGTGAACGATGACGCATCTAATTTTTTTACTAGAAAACTATCGGTTTTATCGAAAAATTACAAGAGGTAAAAAAGTTGCGCAATAAATCAGTCTTCCCAATAAATATTTTTAAATAAATAATTTGCTTCATATAAAAAATTTCTAATAAAATATTGCAATGGGGTTGACTGTTTCACTCCTTTATAAAATACGCCAATGATCGAACAAATATTGAAAAGTTGTCTCTTTATTAGTAGGATGCTCATACCAAGTTTCGTGTCTCTAGCATTCCTCATGTTAAACCAAAAAATTAAAATGGGAATTTCAATCCCCTCCTTTAAGAGGGTATGTCGCCTCAGGGGTGCAACTTTCATATATGTCTCGATTTCCGAATTGATAAACTTGTGGAATATAAAGAAAAGAACTATTTTTGTAAAAAATTAATTATAACGAACGTTCAAATAAAAACGTGGTCGAAGTTGGCTCTGACACATTGGACGTAGGGAGTAGCTTATAGCGACCAACTTAACCTCATTTAACGTTAATGACTATATAACTTTATTTTAAAGAATAATCGTGATAACAATAACAAACAATTAAAGGAGCTGCGGAAAGTGTCCCCCTCCTTGTTATAACAATAAATTAAAGCAGCTGCTGAAAGTGTCCCCCTCCTTGTTCCAAGCACTTTTCACACCTGTTCCTCAAAGAATTAAAGACATTTTCTAAGATGCTCGGGGTATTGTTAATTTCACGAATCTTGTCTATAAGTCGAGCCTGCAGATGGTTTAAATCAGGAATAGGCAGTTCAAAAATAGTGTTTTTAAGGTAAGGCCACAAAAAGAAATCACACGGCGTAATATCACATGACCTCGGTGGAAATTCATGTTCAGCATTGAGACTTAGTCGATTTTGGAAAACTTCCCTCAACATATTCATCGTCTCGCCTGCCGTATGTGCCCTTGCGCCATTTTGTTGAAAGTAAAAGTTTGTAATTTCGTTTTCTTCCAGCTGGTTAACAAAAGGAGCGATAATTTCTTCTCTATACCTTTGCGCAGTAAGAGTACCATTAAAAAAAATAGGTCCATAAATCCTCCTTCGATTGAGAGCACACCATACTATAATTTTTTGAGCGTGTAGAGGGCCCTCGACAAAAAAGTTATTTGGTTTTTCAGAAGACCACATTCTCATATTCTGTGAGTTTACATAACCACTTAAATGAAACCAGGCTTCTTCAGAAAAAAAGGTGATATTATGAAGTTCACCGTAGTTGTTTAAAAACCATTCACAAAATACAGCCCGTCGCGGAAAATCAACTTCATGAAGTTCTTGCTGACAAGTTAAACAATAGGAGAACAAACGCAAATCTTTTTTTAACACTGTGTGGCAGGTACCGACTGATACTCCCACCATTTGTGATAAAACACGTACAGAAGTTCTTGGCGCATTTTCCATTATTTGTTGGACATTTTCTTTTAATTCTTCAGTCCGCTTTTTAGGTCGGCCGCTTCCTTTTTTTCTTGTTACACTGCCCATTTCACGAAAAACATTAATACAACGCTGAACTGCACTTTTGTAAATTTTGTACTCAACAACGCCGGGAAATTGATTTTGAAATTCTATGAAACATTCCTCAATAGAATACTTCCACATTCCATCAATCTTGCGTCCATTTCTAAAGTAGGACTCTATGATAAACACTTTTTGTTCTTGAGAAAACACCATTTTAAACGCTTTTTAAAACGAAAATATTCAAATTGATAGCGGCGATATAGTGCTTTGACAGATGATGTTTAAGTTCGTTTGCTATACGCTACGCCCTACGTCCAAATTTTCAGAACCAACTTGACCACGTTTTTATTTGAACACTCGTTATATTAAATATCCGAAATTCTTAATCAATTATTTTCATCAGTCGGTGAACAGAAACCGACACTCCATAGTGGATTCGGAATCTTGAACAAGTTTAAAAGAGTCAATTCTGATAAGGGAATTGGTGTCGATGATTCCCTCCAAAAAAATTATAGGCTATACAGTTTTATATTTTGAATTTTCTAAATCGTTCTTAGTACGTACCTACAAATAACTCCCAAAACATGTAATTTTTCTAGAGCTAGCAGCAACTGTGCCGCCCACTTTACAATGGTTCTTTCTGCTAGAACCGAATGTGTCTCAAAACTCTCTTCAAAATTAGTTAAATCACTATCTTTCCTTTGACTAGAATGAACTTCCTCACTGGCTTCAACGTTTTTTTTGTGACTTTCACCTCTTTCGATGTCGTCACTTTGTACCACCTCTGTTGATGTAGTATCAAGAGGTGACAGCAATTTAAATTCTTCATCTTTTTCCTTTAAACATTTTCCACCTGAATTTTTTGTACTTTGATTATTATATGGCAATTTATCTTCCAAATCCACTTTAACATAACTATCGTCGCTGCTTGACGACTTTTGTTCCAAATCCCTTGCAACACTTACATTTTTTAAGCGGTTGCTTGTGTATTCGTTTATGAGATCAGAAAAACTAAGTTCGGAATCATTGTCATCGGACATGTCATGTATTTGCTTCAGTATTTGGTTTTCTTTCTTCGTAGTGACTTCATCAAGAGTCGATTGCCTTCTCAAATATTCAGATAGGTGTACACCACTGACAAAATACATAATTTATATAATTTTAAGTGGTACATGAATAATTATTATGACTTACCTACAATATTCTAAAACTAAAAATAATGCATTTTCACAATTGTAATGGTAATGAAGTTTTACCATGTAAGGCACATTTTCAGGTAATACCAAGTTTTCATTTAAAAATTCAGTGGTTTTATGGATGACCTACAAATATTACATCTGTAAAATACATTTAATTTCGAAACCTACGCAGACAAACCTTTATGTAAAATAATTGCTGCAGTTCAGAATGAAGTACTAACATTCCCGAAGAAATAATTTTAACAACTTTAAATTTATATAAATCAAACAATGGTCTTTTAGTTGTAGCTTGCTCTGGAGTTTCTTCCTGCAAATTCATATTAACACTTAAAACGAGTCTTAATTAACTGAATAATAATAATGTGATATAAACACCGATTGTTTATGTACATACACATTGTTGTTGTTATTCACCTAAGGTGAAGGATACATTATAATATCATCACGATACTATTTTGTGTCAAAAAAAAATTTCTACTTACAACTAACTGAAGATTCTTGACTTCAGGCGCCAAATACATATTAAATATTTTTTCAGCTCTTATTAGATATTTATTTGCTTTGTATCGCACCATTTGTCTGTGGTTATAGTTTGGATCATCTAGAATACAAATTAAAACAATGTTTGTTTATTACGTAATAAAAATTCTTTACCCTTTCCGTATTTTAATAAAATATCAATTGCTGTTTCATATGCAGCGAACGCCTCTTCATATTTTTTACTGTTTTCTAGTTCAGTTGCTAAATTGATGTGGACAGAAGCGTCAATAATATACTGCATGCAGCCACTTGCCACTAAAGACCCTGGTGTATTCGGAGGTGTAGGATAAATCTGACCATCTATTAATGTCAAGTTGTCTAACATAGTTGTAACACTTAATGAATCCGAATTTTTGGAAGATGTTTGTGAATTTATTGATAAGCAGGAACTTAATTTTTTCAAGTTTGAGTGAGGCAAATTATGACTGAGGGTTTCGGGAAAAAAGTCAGGCTGTAAATAATATTTCGATTTAGTTAAAATGCTCGATCCGATTTATATAAAGCTTGATATGGTCAAGATTACAAAGAAGTAGCAATCAATATCATTAAAAAATTAACATGTTAATATTGAAGAAGATTTTTTACCTGGATTGAGGGACTCAAGCTACTGATAGTTGTAATCGAATCTGTATCGCTAGTGGTCTTTTCGTCATCAGATTTTGATAAATATGTACATACCTCGGGATCCTCAGGTAAATTTAATTCTGCACGAATTGTATTAATATTGCTGTGCAAGTGTTCAACTGGCGTGTGGCTTGTCTAGAAAAAACAGTTTTTAAACATATTTTAATTTAGAATCTAACGTACTTACTTCCAAAAACTTAACAAACTCTGTTGATGTGAATAATTGGGAGACACTGCCTATGTATTCCAAAAAATTCAAAATACCCTGTCTTCGTTCTTTTATTGTTTCTTCATCAAAACTAAAAGAGATTTTATTAATGATTTTGGTATTGCAGTAGATCTGAAAATAGTAATAACAAACCGTTTAAATAGGGCTCTTGTCGGTAAAGGAGGATATTTATTTTTCAAACTGAGTCTTCTGTGCAAAACCTTTAAATCTCGATGCAATTTCTTAAAATCATTAAAACGTTTCCATACTGTAACCTTTGTCACTGCGTCAGGGCAAGACTCTGGATAAAGCTGTAAAATATAATATATAATATTTTCAATACGAATGAAATGAAAATTTTTAAATATATATTACCATTGACACCACTTTGTAAATAGTAAATCCATTCTTATGTTTACTTATATCTGGTATATCAAATATTCGTATCCAGTTTTCATGGGTTGAGACCATTTTAAACTTAGCATTAATGATTATTCAATACATTTTTATTTGTGGCAGCGAATGAAAATGATATGTATAAAAAACAACATTAAATAGTATAAATACATTTGACAATTATGACAGCTGACACTGACAGGTACTGTCAACTAATCGAATCGAACTATTATAGGGAACGTACTGATAGCGTTTTCGATTTACTTGCACTTAGTGTACCATCTACCTACTCGTATAATACACGATGGAAATATTCCGCACTGAGTATCAAAAGTCAAAAGGTTGAAAACGCTGTGAATAAGCAAGATCGCTAAAGAATACATAGTTCAGTGAAATTAATGAATAACAAACAATAAAACCGACTGTAGCCCATAATTTATTAAATCTCACTTCCTCTTCTTCTAGAACATACAAGACTAACGTTTACCATTGATGTAAGTAGAGTAGTGACGCAATACGCAGTGTAAGAGATGAGGGCTGCTTTCTTTCGGGTACCGATTTCGGATCTAAACGCATTTATGATTCCAAAATCATGTTCGTAGTTGTTGTCTTGTTTCCGGATCATGTCGGATTAATGATCAGGATCGGTAATCCCCTTTTCCCTATGAATCAAACTTTTTCCGTGATCCAACCTTTTGATCTCGATATCTCGATCATGTGTAATAATATAACCTTAAAATTGTGGTGGTTTCTTTTTTCTCTAAGAAGGCAGTTAATATTTTTATTTTAATTGTACACAGAAGAATAGGTACATCTAAATGATATTTAAAATCGAATCAAATGTCAATAGTAAACAAAATCCTGTTCTATTTGAAATTGGATTCCTGGATCTAGTTTGTCTGATCCTGATTCAAAGCCCTAGATTATATACTTTTCAAAGCTGAGAGCAAAAGAAAACGGCTGAGATCTGAGCTAATTTATTATTTCGATTGGTCAATTAGGTTAGGTGTCGGAATATTTATATTCAAATAAAACAAATTAGAATTATTTTTAGCTATATTAGAAATAATGTTAAAAATAATTTAATCTTGCATCTGTATAAAAAAATATATAATGTTACTAACATTTAAAACATATGTAGATTATTTTTAGCAAAGCTATCAGTACACAGTACAAGCTAAACATTAATACATATAACAGTAACAAAATAGAATAATCTGACTACATGCTAATTCAAATAATTCAACTATTCTCAACATATTTTTGATATCAGGAAGATGTATTTGCGCAACATATTACTGCTGCATAAAATTTTAAATTTCTAAGGTATGTAAGTATATTTAAATTGACATTATTTTATTTTATTAATAAAATATTTTTTATGCATATGCTACTTTAATTAGCAATAAAGCACATCTATTCATTTTAGAGACAAGACGAAATTATAATTAAAAAAAAATATAACTATTTATTTGGGCAAATTTAAATAAAACATTAGAAAATGGAATAAACTGTTTTTTTTTAATGATTTTCAGAGTATTTTCCAAATTCCTGCAACCCTTCACTTTGAATATATTACACCCTGTTCATTATTCGCCTTATATAACAAATTATTATTGATTTGACACCAAAGTATTTTGGCGATGTACATATCGGAATTATTCGACCTAAAAATAGTCCGCAAAATGTTGCATTTCTGGACTAGGCCGCAAATAATTATGGAAACACCTAACACAAAACGTTGCGGAAAAAATTATTAGAGCCACTGAATTATTTGTATTGAGAAATTTTATATGTAACACTTATGCAAAATACTTTCATCAGTCATTCAAAGAATTATTCTGCATACTTATTACTTAAAACAGCTATAATTTTATTTATTTGATCAGTATTAGATTTATTTTTGATTATTACACAACCATAAGTACTTGGAAAATCAAGTTTTTTTCATACGCCACATTTTTAATAACATTTTAAATTTTCAAAGGAAAATTTATTTTGCAACGACAAGTTTCTTTCCTCGTCACCAATTAAAATAATTTTAAATATTTTTATCACATTAGGCCAATCTTCTTTAAAATCACTATGTCTTGCATGTCAGTGACGTCTTCACGTTTTTTAATTAATGAAATTTGTCATTACAGCTCAAAATTCTGGCCTTTACATATTTTCAATGATAAAACAGGTATTTTATAACAAAAACAATAAATAGGAAAAAAAACATCTTACAAACTTATGAACACATTATTTAACTGCTGTCCTGAATGTGGTGCAATCTTAGGTTTAGAGATTCCTCAGACGGAGATTCTTTAAACAGACTAGAAGATAAATCTATAGCTACATATAAACCACATAAAATCATAGGCCCGATTATAGCCCCTTCAACACCCAGACAGAAAATTCCGCCTGCTATAGCAAGACCCGTTAAATAAGGGTGACCACCACTGAAACAAAAAAGTGTTCGTTATTAGTTCTGTGGTTCATTTCAGTTAATGTAGTCCACATGTTGATAAGGGTTATTCCATATAAAGATCTTTTTAAATGTATGCCATTCCAGTTGATATGAAATTAATAAATCTATTAAGTACTTTCGCACGTGAATGTCGATCTCTAATTATATGTTTGAAAGTACTAAATTTCAAACTAAATAATTAAAATAACTCACCCCTTTATTTCCTTATAAATTGTAGTGTCGACAACGGACGTTGGAAGAAACTGACATGCCGCGAATAAAATGGCAGATATAGTTCTATCCTGGGCAAGCCAGAGATCCAAAACGGCTGGAATACATGCCCAATATGTTCCTAGGAAGGGTACGGCACCCAAAATCGTAGCAAAAGCTAAAAAATATTAATTATAACAAAACGTCTATAATAAATCCCGTACATACCCGAAGGAAGGTAGACAATTTTAACTCCAAATAGGTTGTGTATAAACCACGTCCACATTCCGTAAAACGCCGCCATTTTGAAAGAAGCCGAGAAAACGCCATTGATAGCTCCTTCTAAAGCATGCCCAAAACGTCTGCCGCTCGGCGAAAATTTAGTAAGAAGTTCAACTGGCTTGTACAGATCACCACTCGAGTTTAATAAGTAGAAAAGTGTTGTTAAAAAGACGACCTGGAATAATTATTTTATACATAAAAAAATGACCATCCCCAGATATGTGACAATTAAAATAAACAATAAAGCGTTAAAAATCTAAAAAAAAAGTCTATGGAATATTGTAGTTTAAAATCAAAGTTTACAAAATAAAAGAAATTACAGTAACATTAAAACTGTTTGCTTTTAACCGTAATAATAATCATAACTTTTTTCTCCACACACACAAATATACACCATTTGTGATGTTTTTAATTATACAGGGTGTTCCTAAATCGCAACGGAAAACTGTAAATTGCAAAAAAAGGATATTTTTCCTCTTCCATTTTTCTCTCCGGGCTTTCGTTTTCGAGATACACAATATCCAATATCTTAGGAACCGTTTGAACTACAGGACTGAGTTTTTGTACATGCATTACCAGTATTAATACCTACTTTTTCGCACCCCTCTCGAAGTCATTAGGCGTGCTAGTGGTGGAGATTTTAAGGTATCGTAAGGGTTTGACAGCAAATTCTGAAGCACCAATGAATTTTACACAAATAGAGTTCTCTTGGTTCATTGCTCTAAAAACAACCGATTTCAAGGAAAATTACTTTTTATGAACAAAAACAAACATTTTGCTAACGTTTCGAAAATACACTCGTAATTCAAAAAAATAGGTAGTAATATATAACAATTTTAACAAAATAATTAACAGATAGGATTTTAACTTAAAAAAACATAAAAACAATTTTTTATCACTTTAACTATTAAAATTTACAAAAACTGTTCAAAATTACGTCTGTTGGCTTGAATGCATGCATTACATCCTTGGATCATGTTTCTATGAACGTTGTTCATAATTTGATGGGTATTTCTAATTGGTTCTGATGTGACTTCAACCCTAGTGGTCAATTCTTCGGCCCTATTGACAGGGGTTTCATAGATAATGTTCTTCATGTGATCCCATAACAAATAATCAAGTGGGAATAAATCCGGCGACCGGCCGGGCCAGGGCACCGGACCACCTCTTAAGATCCATCGTTCTCTGAATGTTCTGTTGAGGTACTCTCTTACAACAACTGCAAAATGCAAATCCATTTTTACCACTTTTAACAATTTTAAACAATTAAAAATTAGCACTCAGCAGCATGACATTTAATTAACTTGACACTCTTGACAGTTCTAAGGTAAGTTGTAATAATGGTAACTTAGTTTTTTTCCCATAACGTATGTGGTGTCAACATGACGAGACACCCTCACATTTTGCAAGTGCAAGTACCTCAACAGAACATCCGGAGAACGACGAATTGAACCGCTGGACATCTGAAATGCATCGTTTATGAAATCCATGTCAGTACTATCGAAGAGCAGAAAGACACGTGATTCCAAGATGTAATGCGTGCATTGAAGTCCGCGAATGTATTTTTGAACAGTTTTTGTAAATTTTACTTGACAAATTGATAAAAAAAAGTTAAAATCCGATCTGTTGTTAAATTTCGTTAAAATTGTTAATTATTACTACCTATTTTTGAATTACAAAAGATTTTCCAAATGATAGCAAAATGTGTTTTTGTTCATAAAAAGTCATTTTTCTTGAAAACAGTTGTCTTTAGAGCAATGAACCAAGTGAACTCTTTTTGTGTAAAATTTATCGGCGCTTCAGAATTTGCTATCAAATGTCAATTTTTCCAGTGCCGTAAAAGTTTGGGGGGAAAAACCTTTACGATACCTTAAAACCTCCACCACTGGCACGTCCAATGAATTCGAGAAGGATGCAAAAAAGTAGCTATTAATAGTGGTAATGTGTGTACAAAAGCTCAGTTCTGTAGTTTAAACGGTTCCTAAGATATTGACAAAAAAGTAAAAAAAAAATTAAAGTTTTGACACCGTGTATCTCGAAAACGAAAGCCCGGAGAGAAATATGGAAGAGGAAAATAATGTTTCTTTTTTCAAGAGGAATTTACAGTTCTCCGTTGCAACATTTATTTAGGAACATCCTGTATACAACTAAAGTTTAACAATTCAGCAACATANACGTCTATTGGTTGTTTCTACGAGTGTTTTGGAAGATTAATTTCTTGTGTAATATTTTGTTTCCCATTGTGTTTCAGATACTAGCACTCTTATTTCTCACCCTCAACAATGAGGATCACATTTACAGGTAGAAAATAAGATGCTAGATATTGTTGACAAAAATTCCAGTACACCACAACTGCATTCTGTTGAATATACGGCACTTATACAGCGTGGACCTCCTGTACAGACCAATTAAAATTTAATGAAGAAAATTACTTACCACATTTAATATGAAATTTAATACCGCTGTCCCCCCTCCAAGTATAACAGACAGAAATGTACTGAAAGATCCCAAAATTAAACTTATGTTTCCTTTAACGATGCCCCAAATTGATTCAAGCAGCGATAGGAGCGTTCCAATATTCTGCTTACCAAAATCCATGATCGCACCTAAATTAAACATTTCTAAAACAAAAGATTACCTTGACAACATATAATGTCTGTATCACACCATTATTTCACCTGGTGATTTTTGAATGTCGGTTATAAAATCTTCCCATGAAGCCTTAACGGCATCTTCGGAAACTTTAGGCCCGTTTGAATCGTTTGCAGACATCCAATTTTGATAAACTCTGTCCCAAAGCTCCAACATTTGGTTCTCGAGTTTTTGAGACTTTGCCAAGTCTACGTCAGACATCATTCCCCTTACCTAAACAAATCATTTATAAAAAATAATAAATCGTTAAAATTCTCTAATCATACCGCTTTCGATATGCCTTCCCTCCCATACTGGTAAGCATTATCTAGAATGGAGTCTACGGTGTCGTCCCATGCTGGTGGCAACATTTGTCTTAACTCGGGGTTGTGGACAACGGTCTGGTTAATCACGTTGCCAGTCATTTGAACCATCATAATCGCTTCAGCATAAATCTTAAAGAAAAAGTCAATATCGGTTCCGTTTCAATGTTAAGTGAGTCATTATTACAAACGTATGAAGTTACTAGGCTAACTTTAAAATTTTGAAATTTTAATTATGGGGAATTGTCGCAAATTGCAACCTGAATTGTAAAAAGTTTGTTTTTGAACGGGCTTACTGACTATATAAATTTAACGAGCCACAGTATTTTCTTCAAATTTAAGCGCATTAAAAACAAGGTTTCCACGGCAAAATCATAACAAATCTATTGAAAATACTGGTATAATAACTACTAAATTTAACAGTTGACTAGATAATTTTATATATTTCATTATTACCTGTAATGCGATGAACACCGATGCACAAATGAGAAAAACGATTAGACCAAATATAACGACACAACTAGCGACGGTATCTATGCTATCTTTAACGCCAGTCTTTAAAGTAGTATTGACTTTATGAATAACTTTATACAGTCCTCTAATAGGCACGGGAACGAGCGCGTCGTGCCTCTCTTCACACCAAATGCTTAGTGCCTGGAAAACATTATGGAACTTTTCATAGAGGTAGTTCCAAAGGCCCAAATATAGCCCTAGGTGTTTAATCAGGTAAAACAGTATTGGCACTGGCAACAACGGAAGCAACATGACGTTTTTCCAGAATAACATAACAATGCAAGCCCATAATACAGAGTATAAATAAAACGTGCTCTCGTAAGTCTCTGTATCTATTAAACTATTATTCGAATAAGTCAAACTGAGTTTTCTGCCCATTTGTAGAATGTTTGACTTACGTAGTTTGCCACTATTGCCAAATTGTGGCTGAGATAAGGATCTTTTTAGTCTAGTTTCTTTTCTCAATAATTTTGGTTTATTTAAAATTTCCGAAATGGTTGCAGTCTGGGGTTGTTGTATTAAATGTATTCCTTGGTTAGTTATTAGAACACTTGTATTACTTAATTCAGAATCGGTACGGGTTATTGGCTGCTTTTCCTCAAACAATTCCAAAGACCAGGGATCTTTCTCTTTTTGGTCTGTCTTTGCGGTTTTAATTGTGTCTCCTACATTTTCAATCGTCTCCGATTTTTCACTAAACGTAACATTTGGATTTACTTCAATTTCTTTCTAAAAATTAGATAATTTTATATAATTAATATAACAATTAGATAGTTTTATATAATGCGAAAGTGCAAATATTCATATTAGTTAATATTTTTTTCAAATACTTTCGTTTAATTGTTTTCTAATCTTTACTATACACTTTGTAAACATATTGCATACCTCTTCATTGGGGTCTATATTATCAATATTTTCATCTTTAGTCTCGGAGCCATTTTCACTTATATCTAATTCTACTGCTTTATCATGAAATGCCAATAACAAAGATTCTGTAATGGATATCGGATGACCTAAAAATAACATTAAAAAATAGTTACAAGATTTTTGACCTTACTAGATGTTTTATTAATGGTTTTCGGTGCATCTACTTACCTGCATTATTCATGGCTTCGTGAATTTCATATACTTCGGATACAAACCCTCCAAAAAATATTACTTGCAGTATAATGAACACAGGCAACTGTAATGACCCAAACAGTTGGGCAAGACAACATGAACACAACAACCAAATTATTATGGAAGCGTAGTGAAATTTGGAGTTATTTTCTGGTTTCCATAGAAGAAACACAATTGACATGTAACCGATTAAACTTAGAGAAACCTAAAATGCACAAACCATGATTTTTAACATAAAGCATAAAAATTAAAATTGAACAAATTAATAAAACTTACCACTAAAACCGTCGAGTTATCCAAAAAGAAATTCAGGGATTTAAACGAGCACGTTAATATTTTCCAGACTAATGTAGCAATTATCTTTGGTGTGTAATAGTAAATAAGGTGGATCATCGGTATTACTACGGAAACTCCAATAATTAGTTTTATTCTTTTATAAAGAGTTTCTCCAATAAACTCCGATAAATCATTTATAATATTGATTGGCAGCAATATTACTCCAAAAATGACTGGTGTGTTGGTTGTCTCCAATGTTTCAAACCAGGCCTGAAATCTATCCCTCAGTGATCGTTTAAGGGGATGTAGAGCTGAGCCAACTAGTACGGCCCATATTAGGGGTTTTACAAATGGTTCCAGTATCATATACAAAGCATATCCTGCGGCACAACACAAGAATAAAAGGAAAAGGGCCACTGCATTGTATAAAGCATGTTTCACTGGTTTGTCGTGACCCTGGGGTAAACCACCAATTACACTGAAAATACTTTCTAAGGGCGAACGGTGATCCATTTTCAAGAATGTTACTGATTACTGATCTTTCATGACATAATTTTTAAATTTAGTAGTTAGGTCAATCATTTATCATATTGACATTAATAACCTTGTAACAAAATAAACAATACTGAATTTGAATGCACTCGTAGTTTGGATGTCATTATATGCTCGTCTTCTTCTTTAAACTTTGTTTTTTTACTCATTATTTAAAAATACCAACAGAACTTAAAATTTTATATAAAGTTTGTGATACAAATATATGTCTTTAGGATGTATTTATAATAAATGTATCATAATCTGATTTGATTTCAATTTTTATAGAAACTAGAATCATACACTAGCCTATGTGTTTAAATATTTTATATAAACAATGAAAACCTGTGGCAAAGATTTTGTTACATAAAATTTTTGTCAAATGGCGAGTAGTTATTTCATTCCCTGTTTTGATTTTTTTCACTTTTCACATGTCACAATCACATGTGGATTGTGGAATGTTATAGGTTAGGTTAGATTCAAAAGTTTTAGTAATATGAATTTGTGCTCAAGAGTCTGTAGAATATTATACAGAACAAGTATCTTTTATAAAGTAAATAATTATAATACAATTAAAAATGTAAAAGATGTGGATATTGAAAAAATTAGAAATATGGGAATTTTGGCTCATATCGATGCTGGTATAATTTCAGTATAAGAATTACAATTCTAATTAATTAACCATTTTTTCTTATGTAGGAAAAACGACAACCACTGAACGAATGCTGTATTTTGCCGGAATAATAGATCAAATGGGCGAAGTTCATCATGGCAACACAGTTACTGACTATATGGATCAAGAACGTGAAAGAGGCATCACCATAACTTCTGCAGCTGTCACATTTAACTGGAAAAAGAATCTTATTAATCTTATTGATACACCGGGCCACATAGATTTCACAATGGAAGTGGAACAAACTTTAAATGTCTTGGACGGAGCTGTAGTTGTTTTGGATGGTTCAGCAGGTATAAGGAATGTAATTCAACTTTGCATTTAATTAAAATTTAACAAAATTTTAATCTGTAGGGGTTGAAGCACAAACGCAAACAGTGTGGAGACAAGCTGACAGATATAACATTCCTAGAATAATTTTTGTCAATAAAATGGATCGCTTAGATGCAGATATTAAAATGTGCTGTGAAGCAATCAAAAATAAATTGGAAAAACCTTATCTATTACTGCAATTACCTGTTAGAGAAAATGGCAAACTTACAGGTATGGAAATAAAAGTTTTTTATTTATAAATACTACATTCATTTTAGGTATAATTGATGTTTTAAGCATGGAGCTGCTGAATTATGGCGCGGTCAATGAAAAACAAGTTACGAAAACACCTTTGACGGAAGACCAATGTCCTAAATATTGGAGTGAAGCTAAAAACGCACGTATGATATTGATCGATAAATTAACTGACCACTGTGACGAGTTAGCAGATACAGTCATATCATCAGAATCTTTAGAAAACATAGCCACAGTCGATATTGTGAAAGCCTTGAACGCAATTACATATAATCAGGTGGGGTTATATTTATTACATTATAGGTAAGTTGTATTATGAATATATTAATTACAGAAAGCAGTCCCAGTATTATTAGGAAGTGCCTATAAAAATATTGGAATACAGGCGCTAATGGATGCTGTCGTACTATATCTTCCATCTCCAGTGGTGAAAAATGACCGTTATACTTGTTTTGAATCCAGTTTGTGTGCGGGAGCGTTTAAAGTTGTGCATGACAAACAAAGGGGATCATTAGTTTTTATTAGGATTTATAATGGAACTTTGAATAAAGGACAAAAAATCTATAGTATTCAACAGGATTGTTCAGAACAAATAGGACGACTATACGTGGCATATGCCGATGAGTTCACAGAAGTCGATAGTGTGAAAAATGGAAATATAGCGGTGGTCGCTGGATTGAAAGTAAGTAATAGCTTGTCACTGTGTGTTTTGGTATGAAAATAGTGTATCTGGCCCTAAGTAATTTGTAACAAATTCTCTTAATTCTCAGAAAATCAGATCTGGCGATTTGATAACTAGTACCCAATCAGCATATCAAAAAGCTAAAAGAAACATAACTCAGTCGTTAAATGAAAGATCTGGAGAAATCGATGCAGAAAAGATTCTTGGAGTAGGCGTTACTATACCCGAACCGGTATTTTTTTGTTCTATTGAACCGCCGAGTCTGGCCGCGCAGGCTTCATTGGAACAAGCTTTAACGGAATTACAGAGGGAGGATCCAAGTTTAAGGGTGACGTATAATTCTGAGACTGGCCAAACTGTTTTAGCAGGTACACGATTCTGAACTTACTATTTTTGATACTGATAATTTACTTCGTTTTCCTACCCATTTTTTTCTTGTTTTTAGGAATGGGCGAGCTCCATTTGGAAATAATCCGTGACCGCATTTTGAAGGAATATAAAATAGAGGCAGATCTCGGACCTTTGCAGATTGCCTACAGAGAATCTCCGATTAAAAAATTGACAGACACCAGCACATTAGAAACCAAAATTGGAAATAGTAAACAATCTGTTACTGTAACATTGTCTCTCCTTCCGACAGAACAGAAGGAAGATATTGGCAACGTAATGAAACTGGACAAAAGTCCCGAAGCTGCCAGTAATATCGCCAGTATTTTTCCTAAACATTTGTTGGCGGTCAAGCAAGGTATTGAGACTGGATTAGCCCACGGACCCAAAATTGGTTCACAGGTAGCTTTTTTGATATTAAATATGCCATTCTCGCATAAATAAATCATTTTAGGTGATAAACACGTATGTGATGCTACATAATCTGGAAGTGGGGAGAGGGACATCAGAAACCATGGTAACTGCCACTGTGACGCAAGTAGTCCAAAAGGTATCGTAACTTTTTAATTTTATAATAGGACTAAATTTAATGTTTTATATCTTTCAGCTTGTCAAGAATTCAGGAACGGATATTTTAGAACCTGTAATGTTTTTGGAAGTTGTTGCACCAGAGGAATATTTGTCAGTGGTATTAGCTGATTTGTCTCGACGTCGAAGTGTTATAAAAGACGTTACGATGAGAGGCAAAAGTAAGGTAAGAAAACTATAAATTGATATTCAGCTATTCCTTAAATTCTATAGTTTTATAAATACAGGTTCGGAAAGTACCGATGGTCCATCTGCCGTTACATGAGAGCGATAAAGTAAGACATAGAAATCCATGCGATAGAGAAGGATGGCTATAATGAAGGGGTCTCATAGTCACCGCCTGTTTCGCCCTTCCACAAGTAAGATCCACTTCTTATTTGTGGAAGGGCGAAATGGGCGGTGACTTAGACGCCTTCATTATAGCCATCTTTCTCTATCGCACGGATTTCTATGACTTACTTTATCGCTCTCACGTAACAGCAGATGGACCATCGGTACTTTCCGACCCTGTAGAGTGACTATAGTGTTCGATGGTTATACTGATTAATTTCTTTGTTGTAGGCTGTTCTAGCTGATACACCTCTGTCTGAGCTGCTGGGATATGCGACTGTCCTAAGGACCTTAACCTCGGGCATGGCAACATTTACTATGGAATTTAATCAGTACAAAAAAATGTCACCTATCGATGAAGATAATGCTATTCGTAGTGTAAGAGGATTTTAAGATAATATAAAAGTACAAATATCTTTGTGATTTTAATAGTAATATTACGTGCATTTTCAATTAAACCCAAATAAATTAATCTGTTATTTCTTCTGATTACATTTTCTCCTGATTTGATATAAGTAACAAATTAAAAAAATGGTTTCCCTAAAAGGACATTGTGAAAATGAAATTTTATGTAGTGATAATTTGTGTAAATACGATACATTACGTTATACCTCCTTACAAGAAGAAGACGAGAAATTATAACATTTGATTTGACATTTGAGGTTATAATTTTTGACAGACGGGGTCATTGTGACTGTACTGTTTGTTTATAAAAGTGTGAATGGTTTTCTTTAAAGAAAATGAAATCGGACAATTTAGACCAAAAAATGAACAAAGAGGAGCAAGTCGTGCAGTGCGATGATTCATTAATAAACGTGAAGATATCCGATGTATTCACTCCAGTTACTTGTGCTCTCCTCATAAACGAAATACTACAGGGTCTCCTGTACCAGAAATCGCAAATTCCGTATCCTTATAATTGGTTAAAGTCGGTGGTGGACAAGAAACGTGGAATTTCAACTTCTGAAGGAACTGCTAGGAAAGTTAATTTTAATGCTGCCAACCATTTCCGTGTAGTTTCTAGTGCTTATGATACTTTAGAAAACATAATGAAAGGGATTATTAAAGAGTTTAGTGAAAGAAATGATTTTATAAAGGAAGTTGTCTTCGTTTTTGGTGCTACACCTGTGTGTCCGAAAGAAATTTACTCAATAAAAATTCCTTCTTTAGCAAAGGGGCATTTAGAAAGAAACCATACCAACCCTGTATGTAAATATCGACAAAAAATATTAAGGTAAGTTGATTCTTGAAGAATAAAATATGAAAATATAATCGTTCCACTGACAAATCATTATTTTCAGAAATATATTTTTATCACAACAGTGGTTGGATACTGTGGATAGTTCAATGTCTTGTACAAACACTTACATATTTTTTAAAACAACCGAAACCTGTAACAGAAGTTCTACTGTTGATTCTAGAAATGATTTTTTTATACCCAGTCGGCCCGTAACGGTGCCATCGAAGGCAAAACATACGAAAATTAATTTAAATTATGAAGCTAGTGAAAAAAGGAACTGTTGTGACAATTTTTTCGTATTCGAAGATGTTAATCACAGTGATGCGAATCAAAGACGAACTAGTGAAAATAACCAAGCGCAAGAGACGATTGTCTGGTATCAATCAAAAGACTTATTTAAAGGTTTTAAAGACTGCTATATAAACAAAGTCTCAGCTAGTGAGTTATGGTAACATATTTTAGTTTTTTTTTAGTTAAGTAAATACGATTTTATTGATATTAGTTATTGTTTTTGCAGACATAACAAATATATGATTTTTAATGAATTTTTTTATATGTATATCCAGCGTTAATATTAACAATCGAAGCAAAGCAATATATTTTTTTAATGACAATTGTATCTGTTATTTTTATACTTACATAATTCTATATTGTAATAGTAACTGTATCATGTTATAAATTTAATTTTATTATTGATTTTTCTAGTTGTAGATATAATGATTGGTGATTGATTGTGTTTAATGTATTAAATAATTACGTTTTTATTAAATAATATAAAGTAGTATATTACTTTTATATTTTCTTTAGTTCGGTTCCACAACTATTTATCTTCTCTACTGTTGATTAATGCAGATTTGTTAATAGCAATTTTACTAAATGAGATTTTTAAAAAAAGATGAGGTGTAAGTTACGATACGTATCCTTTGTATTATTTGCATGACATTGTCAATGTAAGGTAAATAATTCAAATATACGATATAAACATTTAATATTTTATTTATACAAAAAGTTCGAGTTCTATAAATAATATCTACAGGTGAGTAATTAAAATTAACAGTGTAGTGGAAGCAGCTTCCACGAAACAGTATAGAAAGAGAATTTGATTCATTCTTGTTAGTTTGTAACGTAAAGATATGTTTTATGAATATTAAGGGGTCGGTAGTAGTAGTATCAGAAATGGAATATGGACCGGTGGTGGTTCGGTACTTAGAAAGAGGAGCATAGAAAGTACCTTAGGATCGTAAATGAAAGTCCTATTTACAAGAAGTTTCATCTGATGTGTTTTATTATGAAGACAAATAAAGTATATACAGCGGCTCCGGGGAGGGAGAGAGATGCGGCGTTCTTGTTGCCGTGTTGCATGGCTGCTGGATGCTCTCCTGAAAAAAATGTTTAATTCATGAGGGACTTGCTTACAAATCAGTAAACGTTAAAAAGTAAAAAAAGTTGTAAATACTTGTTATGCATAATTTTTTACTAGCAAAACTTGGTAATTGGAAAAGTAAAGTAATTGATACACTTTATTTTAAAGCCGACCTTGGTGTGATTATGAAATCGCTTCTCATACAAACAAATAACTGCAATTAAATATTAGTACAGTAATTGAAGCTTTTCACCTTCGAATTCTTTGAAACTTAAACCGATCGACTTGAAATTTGGCAGATAGTTAGAGAAAAGGTCAATGAACATTAGTGACATAGCGCCGATTGACGCTTCTACCCTGTTGGGGGTTGACACCCCTTTTCGGGGGTGGATTTTTTTTTAAAATAACGCTGGAAATCGATTCAGAATCAAATTTTGAGCAAAAAATATTCGAAGAAATTATTCAAGAAATCAGTAGTTTTTTAGTTATTCACGATTGAAAGCTTGGAATTTTGAGTGAAAAAAAAAACTTTCAAAGTATTTTTTCGCGAATAACAAAAACTACGCATTATTTTAAAAAAAGTGTAATGAACAAAAATGTAGCTTATAAATAAACAAAGAAAATCGTTTTTTAAAAAGTGTTGTACGCTCGGTTGTACGTCCTATACAAAGCGAAATATGATTAGTGGAAGGGGACTTGTTTTGGGGGGAATACTCGATTCGATGTATTCAACGTCAAATAACGGAAAAATGATTAATTTTACGTGTATAACGCCCCAGGAGTTTTTTGTAGTACTCAAAAAGACCTTATAAAAGTTAATTAGAGCAAAATTGAAGGAGTTATCGGCAAAAACAGATGGGTTGCTCATATTTTTTAAGGAAAAATGAGCAGTAAACGCTGTACCATTTCCATCAGAATTAAAATTAATCGTAGACCCTTTACAATTAGTTTTATTTTAGTGTTTTTCATACGATCCTGAAGTTAGACCGGTTTAGAATTTATTAGCGTATTTTTTGAATAATGTACGGTAAAAGTTGAAAACGTTTTTTTCATTATTCAAAAAAAATTGCCTTATTTATATAATAACAAACTATGAAAGATACGTAAAAAATGAAAGACAACAAAAATGTAGCTCTTTTTTCAACTAATATTTTGCTCTTTTTTATTCCTGTAGCACAAAAAATAAAGGAGATATCGCCGCTTGAAGTATCCATTTTAGTGAAAAAACGACCTCTGTCTCGAGCCTTTCGATCCTTTCCCTTTAAAAAGTGAAGAACTTAAAAGGCTTTATATGCAAACGATCTTACAGCTCTTGAAATGATCTTTAAAATGCTTTTTTGTAGGATACTATACCTTCAAAATTAACCGAGTTATGGTAAACAAACCAATGATATTTTTTCGGAGCAAAATAGGCTTTCTCATTTTTATAAATTATATTATACAAATAAAATAGTAAAAAAAAATTATTGTGATTATTTATATGCAGCGTAGCAATTTTTTTTATGATTGATTATATTTAAAAATCGATTATAATAAAAATATTTTACAGTAATATTGGTAAAAGCGCAGTTTATAAGAGTTGAAAATGGCAAAAGTAAAATATTCTTTCATAAACAATATAAGGGAATTTTTATTTTTAATAACTGCACAATTATAGCATTCCAAGATTTAAAACGTAATTTTTTTATTATTTTTTTTTTAGCACAGGGGTGATTTATAAGGGTTGAAAAGTGTTATGAGATACAAATTCTTTCATAAGCAATGAGGGAATTTTTATTTTAAATAATTGCACCGTTAAAGCATTCCAAGCTTTTAAAAGGGTGGTTTTTAGGTGTTGAAAGGGAAAAATTCTTTTATTAGCTATAAGTAACTTTTCCTTTAAATAATTGCACAATTTAATCATTCCAAATCTTTAAAAAGTAATTTTTTATAATTATTTTTTGCATAGGGGTAGCTTTGAAGGGTTAAATAAAGGGTCGAAAAGATCAAATATATCATAAAACATGTTTGAGAACATGGACCATTATTTAATTTTTGTGCTTGAACAAGATTTTTATCAATAAAATGTTTAAAACTTAATTTTTTCAATTTTTTTCACTTAGGGGAAGTTTTTACCCCTGAAAAACAAAAAGCGTCAATCGGGCTTATGTCACTTTTGAACTTGAGCCTAAGATGAGCCTTATTCTAAATTTTCATGCAAATCCATGCAGTTTCAAAGAATTCGGAAGTTACAGCTGATTTTCAGCTTCAATGACTGTACTATATATTCATATCGAATTTATAAACAACAGAAAACTACCATGTTCTAAGGAAGTAACTGGGGATATACACAAAATCGTTGTTATAGCAACTGTCTTCTATGACCATACTTTGTTGGTAATTAGTCCACTTTGTAACTAATAGATATTTTTAGTTGTTAATAAAATTCAAAATTTTTCCTTAGACACATCTGCTTATTCTCATCATATGACAAATTCTTAATGGACTACATACATACATTTTCATAAAAAAATTCATGACTGTCATAAATTAATCTATACTTTCCGTCTTTTTTTTTATAATACTTTGGTCTATGTGTTCTTTGGTTTTATCACTATATTCTTCTGAATTATAGTTATGTTCTGATTACACAGCCACAAACTAAAATAAAAGTTCAAACCCAAGAGAGCCACACATCATTTCTGAAGGAATTTGATGCTGGAGTAAAAATTCACGATTTTACGACAAATTTTGGAGAAAAGTAAAATTTTTGGGTGAAACTTGTCCAAACATATGGGTCAAAACTGATTTTTTTAAATTGAGTTCAAATATATCAATTTCGTAGCATTTTGAGGTGCTGAATGCGATACCATTGGTGACATTTACGTTTGACCTCGATATTTCCCAGAAAATCCAAAATTAGTGTTTTTTTACATACCTGAGTACAAAAGAGGGTTTGGGATAGTTTTAATTCAAATAGTGGACTTTCTGAGAAATATCAAGATGATGGGTAAATTTTACTAATGGCATCCTGTTCAGCGCCTCAAAATACTATGACAATGATATATTTGGACAAAAAAAATTAAGGAAAAAATAAGTTTTGGCCCATATTTGTACCAGTTTCACCCAAATATTTCAGTTTTCTCTGTCCTCAAGTCATGAATTTTGACTACAAGATCGTTCGTGTTCAGCGCATCGAATTCCTTTGGAAATGATATGTGGCTCTCTTGGGATTGGACTATTTTTTTTGTGTGGCTGATGTGTTATCAAATGATCAGCGTTTTGCTCTTGAATGTTCTGAGGACAAAACAAAATGGAATATTCCAGTAATATTTTCTAGCAGTTCCCCACATTTTTTACATATTGCATTGTTGACTCTCAATTTTGTTTGAGATCCTTGACTACCAATGTACCTACTAAAAAGATTTTTATTTGTGGTACACGGAGTCTCATAATGATAATCACTTTAATTTAATAAATTAAGAGAAAACACAGGTAGGTATGTAACCAGACCTCTGAAATTGTGTGGGCCTTAGAATAATACTAGAGGTGGGCCATTTCTATGAAACTGATTTAAAAAAAATCCTTAAAAAAGGACACACCTCTTGCGTCATGATTTGATCTTTCTAAATTCATTTAAGTGCACCAGCATGTTTTTATGTTGACTTACCTAGGCTCACCCATAGTTACGTGCCTTAACAAATATCTAATAAATTTATAAATATACCAATATATGTTTACCTACTTAAAGGTTAGGCAAATACTGTTTGGCACATAATTTTGGAAAACTAAATAAGTACTTTTTATAATATGATAAAATGCTTCAATTGTTATACATAAAATTTAACATTTAAAAAAAATCCAAATAGAAATTAATAGCTTTTATGCATTAATTAGATTCTGAATTCTTATTATTGGAAAACTAATACTAATACATGATGTGGCGTCTTTAAAGCAGAAAATTAAAAACTTAAACTCCTCGTTGTAAATGAAATAAAATAATATGCGCTATCATAAGGCAATTATGAAATTTGAGTATTAAAAATATTTTACAAAAAGTGACGAAAAGTTAATGCCGGTCCTGTTCCCATTATGAGCTCTAACCTTCGTACGCGCGCGCAGTGACAATACACCACCAGTGGAATAGAGATCACGTGGTCTTATAAGTCGCAAAACTAAAGAAATAACTAATCAATCACCAATTCGATGTTCAGTGGTTTCGCGTTCCGGTGATTGTTGCTGTCAAATTGTGTCAAAAAGATTGTTTTGTTTTTAGACGTTGTGTTTATGGACTTCGATTGTGTGTATTTTTTCTATATTAAAGACGCCACACCCTGTATACAAATATTATCCACACAGAGAGTGAATAACGACGTTATTCATTCAGTTTCTGCGTATCGAAATGTCAGCGTTGCCCGTTTAACAGCAGGATACCTAACGCGTATTGTTCTGTGAGTAATTCCATGTTTTAGAATTACAGGCCGATAGGAATCGTGCTCGATGTTTATGTACAATTTATTATTAGGATAATAGAGGTGGATAATTAATTAAACCAGCTAAAATAGCTTAACATGATCATTGTACATTTTTTAAGTACCTACTGTATTCCAGTGCAATAATATACCCTACATCGCAATAAATTAAAATTGGAACAAAATGTACGTTTGGTAGAGTTTCACGTAAATACGAACAATATATACAGATTTTGGAAAATATTACGAAAATGTTGAATTTTCAAAAAACCTAGTTCAATGTTCTAATGTAAAAAAGAAGTCAGGAGTATATAGATGTTTCCAAAAATTGACTGTTGCCTATAATGTGGCTGGGATAGCAGAGATAAATTATAAACAGAGGCTAGACAGTGATAGAAGAAAAATAATGTGGGTGCCCTATGCACTTAATTTGGTAGCAGAAACAGATATTAATTAATTAGTTCGATTTGAAGGGGAATTTTTGGCCGATTTCTATTGGCCCTTATATGAGTATTCGGATAATTTGATAATTTACTTGTCTTACATTGATAAATACACAATATTTTTCCTTTTTTGCCTAAAACGGTCTAAGGAATAATCTTATGAACTCGTGATTGTATTTTGAAAACACCTTTATAGGGACATAACCATAGAATGGACATTTCGCAGGTGAATAAGTTTGTTTAACTACTGAGGGTGTTAAGTGGATTGTTGCATGCTGCATTTAGAGCATAGGTACTTATTACCGGGAAGTTTGCGGGACTCTAACCGCCAGCAGTGTTGGGTATACTACCGTTCCGTCCCTGTTTACATACCATTAATAACGTGTACATTAACACTTGTAGCGCCGGCGATCGTGGGTACACAGGAGTAGTTTCCCGAGTCGGAGAGATGCGCGTCTGTAAGGTGGAGCCTAGACGTTAGCCCGTCGATCCAGTGGTTCTGAAACACATGCTTAATTAACATACAAGTTTAAAAAGTGATTTTATAATAGTATATTAAACAACAAGGTTTGAAAACGACTCTTTGCACACGAGCGAGACATATTGGTGGACCGAGCCGAAGGCGAGGTCCACAAGTCGGGCGAGTGTGCAAAGAGGTTTTCAAACGAGTTTTTTACGATACTTTTTATACGACTGCAAACAGAGACAACAAAAATAAAATTTTAATTTAAATCGTTTTTATTATCTACTAAAATTGCCAACGCATTAACAAAATAAATTAAATACAACTTTTAATTTAACTCGTTTTTATTAAGAAAATTGCTAACGCATTAACAAAAGAAACTAATATTTAATATTTATGGTAACATTTGAACATTCCTTCAAGGTTACGCTGGGAAAAGCAGTATTATTGTGCACCTTGTTTTCGGTAATAGAGAATATTTTTGGTGTCGTGTTTTTAGTGCAGTTTTTCAGCGTGCGGACTGCGGTCGTTGTTTTCTTGTTGTATTCCAGTAGACGATCATTGTTCTGGTTCTGTGGCAGCAGAAGACACTGAAGATTCTATCTTTTTCGAAACTTCCATTTTATTTCTCAAACAGTCATCAACGTAGCCTTCGGCAACTGTACTGGATTTCCACCCTCCATGGCGTTTGAGGGCAAGCAGATTTGAGCCAGAATTGACTAAAATTGTGGCCGATGAACGCCGAAAACAATGTCTCGTGTAACTTTCTGGATTCTCTAGCATCAAAAACTTGTCGATTTCCCTAGCCATGTTTCCAATTTTGTTGATGCCAACGTTTTGGCTTGAACATTTTCCGTTTTGATAGTTTAAAAAAATCTTGCCTGTCTTCAGATTAGGAGGACGAAGAGCACAGTACTTTTTTAAGATAGTGTAAAGGTTTCCTGTAATTTTAAAACACCTTGGTACCTTTGTTTTTACATTCTTCAGTTTAATCAGCATAGCACTGCCGAAATCTTTGGTGTCTTCTATTGTGAGATAACATAATTCCTCCCTTCGACATGCCCCAGATAGTCCAACTGCCACCACCGCCTTGATAAGTAAATATTTGTCGTCTGATGCTTTCGTCAAAAACCGGCAAAAATCATCTTCTGTGAGGATTTGAGACTTCTTTGGGACGTAGTTTTCGGATTTTCGTTTGATTAGCGCTTGCAACTTTTTATAGCTTCCAAGATCTATGTTGTGATTGGCACTTAACGTTGACTTGAGCATCGAAAAAATCGTCCACAACGTCGAAAATTTATATTTCTTAGATAGTTCTTCAAAATACACCATTAAGTACTGCGTTTTCTGAGAAAGTTTGGACATTTTTGGCAAATCGCCAGTTCATAAATCGGCTTAACTCAGCTTCATACCTGCTTCTGGATTTTGTGGGCAGCAGTTCCGAACATATTTCGCTTGCTTTCTGTAAAATCTCTTCAGAATCACATATTTTCGCACCCAAACTTCGGGAATTCAACAATTTTTGAAGTATCTTATCAATAAAATAAAGGAGCCGTGACGGTTGCTATGAAACTCGACCAACTTGAAACATTGCATAATTTGGGTGACAACATCAAACAAAAATTACAATCTGGAGACGCGTGTGCAAAGATGACATAACCGTGTGCAAAATGTTTAGCACACGGCGTATGCAAAATACCGTTTTCAGAGCGTGTTTTCCGTGCGCAAAACCCCCTTTTGCAAGGCAGTCGTATAAAAAATATTATTTCGTTGTCAGCTGGTCAAAATACGCCAGAAATAATATGTCAGATCTTTGGAAAATGAATCAGTCTAAAAGAGCTGACAGGGAGATTGCCAAAAAAGTAACAACCTTTTGAAAACAAATTAAAATTTTCTTTTATTTATTTTTTATCTTTGTGACTAGTTTATTAATTTAATCTTGAATATAAGGAATTAAAACTGACATCTAACCAAGCGTAAGTCTAAACTAAGAACAGCCAGCGAAGTGGAGATCTGGACCATCGTCGCTCGGTCCACTGATTTTGCAACACATGCTGACTGCTGACTGCCGCCTAGACATTATTGGAATATACGTGACACGAATGCCAGGGGATGGATTACACGCGTTTTGCAGTGACGCTGCGGGATTACATTAAAATAAAGATGAATGGTACTTAAAATTTATTACGCGCATTTACATAATTTGGGAGGTATGATTTAGTGCAGTTTGGATCTGTAATTTACTTGCCGGACTGGTGGGTCGAGGCTCCGTAATAAACTATCCGTTGTTTTGCTATTATTTCACGGAAACTCGTTATTTCTTCTACATGCGTGCATTGTTTTCTAAAATATAGTGTTTTCGTAAAACAACTGTAATTAATGTGTACGGAATAATACTAAAACATTCGTTGCACCTGGTGCATTTAATTTGTGTTTTCATTCTGGTTAAAATTAGCATTCAGGGCCCTTGACTGAAATATTCACGTAACTATCCTAATTAACTCAGTAGTAAACACCAGAGCAAATATCACATAATTGAGTTGTTTATAGCCATGTAATAAGGACAAATTCAGAAAATTACCTAGAAATAACTGAGGTCTTGTATAAATAGGAACCAAAAAAAGGTAATCTATGATAATCAAGAAGAAAATATGTATTTGATTACACTAAGAAAACGGTTTGGTTGGAATAAATGAAAGCTGTGCAGTGGGGAAAAGTTTCACGGAAACTTGAAGGAGACAAGAACCAATAATATATAAAATTAATAAAGATAGATTTGGTATACAGGGTGTTAAAAAAAGAGTGTAAAATATTTAAGGAGGTAATAGTATGAACCAAAATAAGCAGGGTCCGCAGCAAAGTAACGGTTGCGGAGACATGGAATGTTTTATGTTTTTTAGCCCCTTTTTTTATTTTGCAAAAACGTTGTGTATTTTCTTATAATAATTGGTTGATGTTTAGTGAAATAAACAGTACGCATTTGACAGTTGTTCTCAGTGCACAAGTTTTCTTTCGCTATGGCTGGTTACTCTAACGCAGAATTAACAGACATGCATTTCATGTATGGTCGTGCTAATGGGAACGCCACCGAAGCGCGACGTCTTTATGTTGACGCTTATCCAAATCGCCAGATTCCTTTACAACGCATGTTTGGAAGAATTCACCAAAGATTGCGAGATACCGGTTCCTTGAGCAAACAGTGCCATTTATCCGGAAGACCAAGGTCGGTATCCACTCTTAGAGCAGAAGAAGAAATTCTAGCACTGGTAGAGCAGAATCCAGGTACGAGTGTGCGGAGAATATCAGCCGAGGTAGGAATTAGTGGTCCTCTTGTTTGGAGAATCCTTCACGAGTAACTGCTTTATCCACACCATGTGCAACGAGTACAGTCATGATGCTGAAGACCCTCGTTTTCTTGCAAACATTCTTTTTACTGATGGGGCCGGGTTCACAAGAAAGGGAGTGTTTAATTTTCACAATATGCATATTTGGGCCGACGACGAAAATCCTTATGCTCAAATAGAATCTGGACATCAGGCAAGTTTTTCATTAAACATTTGGATGGGTATTGTAGGTGACAGGTTTCTAGGTCCTGTTGTTTTACCAAACCGATTAACAGGCGCTGCTTACCTCAACTTTCTGCAGAACACACTGTATGAGTTTTTGGAAGACATTCCATTGAATCAGAGGCAACAAATGTGGTTCCAGCATGATGGTGCTCCAGCTCATTTTTCCATGGCCGTTAGAGAGCATTTACACCAAACTTTTCCACATAGATGGGTAGGAAGGGCCGGACCTGTTTTATAGCCTCCAAGATCGCCTGATCTGAACCCTCTAGATTTCTTTGTTTGGGGATATTTACTCCTGTAAACAGACTGGAAGAGCTGCAGCTACGGATTAATCAAAAGTGTCAAGAAATCCAAACCAAGGAGGGTGTTTTCGAAAGAGTTCGAATATCGTTGAGACGAAGATGTCGTGCCTGCTTGGAAATGGACGGAGGGCACTTTGAACATCTTCTGTAACTTTGTTTTTTGTTTGTTAAAAGCTTCCTTTGTCGGTTTATTCCTAATAAAATAATATGTTTGAAAAACGAATAGTCCATATCTCCGCAACCGTTACTTTGCGGACCCATGTTTATTAAGACTTTTCTGCTTATTTTGGTTCATACTATTACCTCCTGAAATATTTTACACTCTTTTTTTAACACTCTGTATACAACACATAAATATTTCTTTTATGAAAGAATGTTGAAATTTGAGAGAAAACTTCCTAAATTTCTAATACATTATTTGACACCCTGTATGTATGATTTATTTTAAATATTTCTCACTAACCTGTATCGTGAGTCTCTTCATGTATTCCGCATCATTAACATGAGGCTCCGATGTTTCTAATATATTGTCGCCCTTATACCAAAATACTGTTCCTAAATCATGTGGTCCTTGATTGATGATGCAAGTAAGTGTTATAGAACTCCCCGCCTTTACATGGAGATCGCTTGGTCCTAGAATACGAGCTCTCGCCTCTGAAACATACATTTTTACTTAGAAAATTGAACTTCAACAGTAAAAATTGTCTAGAAGTCTCACGCATTTAGCTCATACCGTCACAGCACGATAAAATTAACAGTTAACACATATCTTGTTTCAACTTACTCTATATACTGCAAAATTCACAATAAAGATATTTGATTTCGCTTATTAAGTCTGAAGATATAAGCTAAAGAAACGAAACGGGTAAATGTACCGTAATGTGTATAAATAATTAACATTTCGATAACATTTATGTAAAATCTGTAACGTACGCAATTGTTGTGGCAATGATAATTTGAGAGAAGAGAGAAGACATCGCGAAATTGGAATTCATTTTGATAACGTTGAATGTGTTGACAATACTGGCTAAAACTTTATAATTAGACAATAAAGAGAAAATAATATTAAAGATAAGGATCTGAATTTTTGAAATTTTGATGAGATTTAGGTAACGTATCAAAACAAAAGTGAGGCGGAAAGAAAATTTTAAAAAACATTTTTTTTATTCGTATGCCAAAAGTAATGATTTCCTCATGGCATAGTCGATAAAAAATAACACTTTTCTCTTATGGCGGAAGTGCTATTTTTGGTTTAATAGCCGAAATTTAAAATGTTAAATTTATGAACCTTCTTAATTTGCACTAAACTAACATGCAATTAGAATGGAGCATGTTTTCTACATTCTTAAAGGCATTGGAAAAAATAAGGCGATAAAGTTTTTTTGATAAATAAATAAATAAACAGCCGCAAAAAAAATAATGAATGATTTGTTCTATTATAACTCATTTTTGAATTAGATTGGATATAAAATTGTATATGAGTTGAAAAAATTTGCCTCTGTCCATAACACAACTTTCTATGTAAAAAATATATCCCAACAGATTTTTAGAAAAAATAAATTGAATTTCGAATTAGCTCAATATCTTTAAAATAGAATTAAAAACTACTTTCTGTATTTATTAGAAATAAATAAATCCAGATCATTGAAATTTATATCAATTTATTTAGAAATACATACAAGTATTTTGGAACTATTTTTTTTTGCTGCTTTTACTTTATTCCCTAAAGTTTTCTGTATTTTATTATTGGCAATGATTGACATGATGAATAACATTGAACTAGATCAGGTAGTCCAGTCGACCAAGTTCCAGTGGCGTGTAGACAAATATTTTTAAATAATTTTCGAAGGGTCTTTTATACCACAGGTATAACATACAGGTATACCGGTATACTTGGTATACAGGTATCTATACCAAGGGTATAGATACCACATATTTTTGTTTTTTTTGTGAATCTCCTTGTATATTCAATATCAAGCGATATTGTTTTACATTTATTATAAGCTTTTGATTTTAAATTAAATAATTTTGTAGTTAATGAGTATTTTGCCTTAACTTTCGAGCCTTTTGGAACGATTTTAAACTGCCTACACCTGCATAAGAAAATTATACTATCTTCAGTGTGAGCTAATTTTTTACTGTTTATTCTAAATTTCTAAGGCAAAACCATATTCACAAAAATAAGCCTTGACTGATAACAATTATCCAGTTATAAGTGTTTTGAAATTATAAGAAAATTTTCTACAAATTGGCCCATATTTTTTATTGTAAGTACAACATTAAAAAACAAAAAATATAAGGGTTACAGTGCATAATCCTGTAAGTATGTATTTACCTAGATACTATTTTATTTTTATATTCCTAAAATTATATAAGTAATGTCACTTTACTCTAGTCGAATTAGAGTTTGAACGTGACATTTCATGTCACTTTTCTCACTATCTCCTTTTTAAATTACCATAAAATAAGCTCTATTTAATGCAAAAAGAGCGAATTCTTTTGCCTTTTGCCTGACCTTGGGATAATTTGTTTATAACGCTGTTTCGCTACTTTGTTAATTGTAAAGGATTATCTAATTTCTACTTTTTGAAATTTGTCTTTTTCGATACGTTTCTTTGGATCAATTAGACATAGGTCTACGATATTAACTTCTAAAATTAACATTTAGTTATTAAACAATTATTTGCAAAAAACGAACGAAATTAATTAACAAATACCCAAAGCAACAATTTTACGGTCAATCAAATCGGCTTTTGGTATGCTGACATGCTGGTATTTATGTAGATTGACCGTCTTTTCCATAAATTTCATCAACATCCATGGCTTTTTGCAATAATAATGCACAATTTTCGAGAACTGATATTTCCGCGTTAGACCTTTATTTTACAGTTAAAAAATTAGTGAAAAATGACTCTAGGTACCTTAAATTGTAGGTAATTTAATTGCCTACAACATAAAATAACTAATATTCCGATCTGTCGTCTAGATTTTCGTGGGCAGTAAAAAAAAGTGAAAAAAACACGTAAATTTGCCACTTATTTGCAAGTTGTCAACTGAGCGTCACTTCTTTCGAGTTACTTTTTTGGTGTTATCATTCTACACTAAATACAGAAATTAAGGGATATTAAAAAAGTCCCAAAATCTTGGGTGATTTTCAAAGAGCTTTAAATTGGAGGGAAATGGACGTAGAGAGAATAAAAAAAGGAAATTGAAGCTTCAATCAACTTTAACATTTTTTAGCATCAGCAGTTTTTGAGTAATCAACGAAAAAAAAATTGTTGCGATTCTTTAAAAAGGCCTACGGACTTAAAATTTTTTGGTAATTTCACCATAAAGCTCTTTTAGATAATTTAATTCTCTTCAATTTGAGCGATTCCGAAGCCTTGTACGATTATTTGCCGCTGAGAATGAGTTATCGTCGATCAAAGCCAAAAACAAACATTTTTGACTTTGGCAATCAATTATTCGGGAAATAATGGTCGTACAGAACCACACGTCCTTACCATGCGTACAAGCATGGGGAATCATTTCATTCTCTTGCAGAATAACGCTCGTCTTCATACCTCAAAATATACGAGAAATTTTCTTCACGCCAACAACGTGGTATTTCTCAACCACCCACCTATGAACCCCGACTTGAATCCCATTGGGCATGTTTAGAACATGCTCGGGTGTCGATGACGACGAGACTATCCTCAATTACAAAGTCACCATCAATTGCTTTTTTACAAATTTGGCAAGGAATAACGGTGATCGGGAACAGAGGCGGCAATACGCGACATTAATTTGTAATCTGCAACGTCAAATGAAACAAATTTTTTTGATGTTTGTGAAGCTTGTGGATACGATAAAAAAATTAAAAAAATTTTTTTTTTAAAAAAAATTTTTCATTTAAATTTTTCATTTTTTAGAATAATGAACGTTTTTTGATGAAAAAATATGGATTATTGCTAAAAAAAATTTTTAACTTGAAAAAATGAATAAAAAAGCAAAAATTTGCAATTTTTTATAATTACTTAAAAACTCCTTACGCTAAAAAATTTTAAACTTCAGATTCAAAAACTAGACACTTGAAGATTCAATTTCCTTTATTTTTATTCTCTCTGCGACCATTTCCTTCCAAGTTACAGCTCTTTGAAAATCACCCAAAATTTTGGGATTTTTTTAATATCCCTCCATTTCTGTGCCTATACTCCGCGGTAGAAATTATAGAGAGTGATTCATCGCTAGCTCTTGGACTAGTAAGGAGGATGAGGCGTGCGGGGATCGAAAATCCATAGGCGTGTATACGTAAAAGGCAACAAGATGTAGAAAATATGGAAAAAATATAATTAATATTAGGGCGTTTATGAGCAACAGACCGTTTGCTACAACCGGCACTTTGATCCATTTTAATTATTATTCCTACGTTTTAAAACGTCCCGATTGTATTTTTTTTAATTTATAAATTTACTATAGTCACGGAATATGCAAACGCTCGCGCGCGCGCTTATAGTTTGACGTTTCTAACTACGGCTAACTCGAATTCTACGTACGTCCGTTTACACCCACTAAAATGAGCATTTCCCTATCTGTAATAAGTGCGATAGACAGAGATAGGAAATAAATCGCGTTCAGTGTAACTCAGTCTATGACTGTTATAGATCCTATCGATGTGCAAAGAGAGCGGTACATCATTTAACATAAGCAAATAATATTGATATGATAAAACATATTCAAACCATTTTTCAAACACGTCGCTGGTCATATCTTCATGATAATCTCCCGTTTTTCGTGACTCAAATACACGCAAACCATTTTCTAAAAATCCCGTATTGCTTCTAATATGTGTTCAATCTTCGTCCTTTTCCAGAAGGTGCCTTTAATCCAGTAGAAAATCCATCTAAAAATGATTGTCTCTTACTCTTAACATTACCATCCTGCCAAACTTTTGATACAGTATGACCTTCGTTTACCCATGTTTCATCCATGTAATATATCTTCTTACCAGATGCACGAAGTTCTCTTATTTTTTCTAAGTATTCTCTTCGCCATACCACAATTTCGTCTTTTTCAACGAGCATACTATTCCGATTCCGTTTCAAATATCGAAAATTCATGTCACGCATTATTCTTCTAAGAACCTTATCAGAGAAATTAGGAATATCCTCATCTTCAGCTATTGCAGCTTGAATTTTCTTTATCGTTGGTATTTCATTTCTAAAGAAAAATCCATGAATTTTCCTACGTATGGAGTATTTCACGTCAACGTCGACTTCTATTTTCTTCCTCCCTCGTGTTTCCACTTTTTTCTTCTTTGGATTCACTTCTACACTATTTTTTATGGCACGATAAACAGTAGCAACGGATACTTTTGTCAACGAACTACACATATCAACAGCTTCACTTACACTTGTATTAGAATTTCGCGACCGAATTCCTTTATACACGTTTTTTACCATTATTAATTCCGCATCGCATAGGTTAGGGCGTTTATGAGCAACAGACCGTTTGCTACAACCGGCACTTTGATCCATTTTAATTATTATTCCTACGTTTTAAAACGTCCCGATTGTATTTTTTTAATTTATAAATTTACTATAGTCACGGAATATGCAAACCCTCGCGCGCGCTTATAGTTTGACGTTTCTAACTACGGCTAACTCGAATTCTAC